TATTAGTAGAGCCATGTGAGCTGAGTTACAAATACAAGAAACCAATCAAACTGAATAAACATCTCAGCAGAAAGAAGACAAGACCCCCATTTTAAGAGAAATGAAACCATAGCCGGGGTCGTCTACACAGCTTTCACTGTAAAATGACCCATCAGATCTGCCAGAATCTGCATACCATCTAAAACCAATCAAGCTCAGCTATCAAGGTGTGAATGTCTTTTTTGTTGTATTTGATATTCACTGGCATGCAACACTAACCATTAAGTCAAGTGTTTTTTGTGTGTGTGTGTGTGTGTGTGTGTGTGTGTGTGTGTGTGTGTGTGTGTGTGTTGAATATAGGGTTGTTCTGCTTTTTAGCTGTACTTTTATTTACTTTTAGCTGTTTGCTTCATCTTTATGCTTGATGCAAAATCAGATTACATGCATGTATACTAGGGCTGGATGCACAGTATATTGCTTCAGCATCAATATCGCATTGTGTGCATCCACAATAGTCAAATTGCAGGATCTGTAGTGTTGAATAGGCATTATATTTGACCAGGAGACACAGTCAATGTTTTAAGGCCTGTGACTGTATGAGCAGCATATCAAGGAAGTTTAAAGCATTCAGGCACAAGGAAATGTGTCATTTAAAACTTCAATACCAAAATAAATGTATTGAGTTATTTAAGCAATGAAGATGCTATGCAGCATTTGAATATTCAATTTCTGTACCTGAATTATTTCCAAATAGAGCTATTAAGTCATCTGGTGAAATTGTATTCATATCGTAATATTGCAAAAAAACAAAACATCGCAAACGCAGATTGTTCCAATATCTTGCAGCCCTTATGTATATCAAACCCCTTGTTTGTTAACTTATATTACCTTTATTGATTGAGTCGTGTACAGTTAGTTGCGCGGTCCGTTGAAATCGAAAAAAGACTTTTAAAGTTCAGAAGAGATAAACGGTCTCACAAGTCTTCACATTGTTTTATATACGTATTTCAGGAACATGGACACCTCCAAATGGCTTTGAAAGAGTCACATACTGTATTTAAAATTTATAATTGACGCAAAAATGTTATTTTCTATCTTCATGTAATGATGTATTTGCTGTGCGGGAAGTATGATTTGCATCTATGTTTTTTCTCAGAGTGATGGCAAAAATTAAAAAGTTAAATTAAAAGTGCGCACATCATTTAAATGATCATATCACATTGCAAAATTATGATTATGACAAGTGTTTGATGTTTTTCCTTTTATAGTGAATACAAAGTGTTTGAGAATAAATGCTTAACGGTGCCAGCCAGATTAACTACTCTAGCTTATATAATGTTGAATATAATGCAAGAGGGAATATGATAATGACAAATGGCTCATTTTATTTTAGTAAAAAAAAAGGTCTAATGAAGTTGTCAATGACAGATTGTAATCATAAGTCTCAAACTATATTATGTACTTTAGAATTATGAATAGGATTCTGCTGTAATCACTTTACTGTGCATTATTGCCAGTCGCCAGGACAAATTTAAAGTCTACCATTCAAAGTCTATACACAAAATTCAACATTTTAATCAACAGTAGACCTACACTTAGGCCTAACAATGTTGTTTTACCATATGTTTGGGAAATTACAATAATACTAATTGCCTACTTGTACTGACCTTTATCTTATATCTACATAATGGTGTGGAAAATCTAGATCTTTATTTTAAGCAAAAAAAAAAGTCATGATTGTCATTTTAGCCAGAATCGTGCAGCCCTAATAGCAGGTCTAAATCACTGTTTGATTGTTTAACAATAAGCAAATACTTTTCTTATGCTTTTAATGGCTAAAAAACATTTCAGCTCTTGTTCGTCCTCTTCTGTGACAGAGCTGGGGGAAAACCTGATTGGCACACATAAGAAAATGTTATCCCAATGAAAGACTCAACCCTGTTCATGTTTCAGTGATTCAAACTCACCTGAAACCCAAAGCAGATACTATATAAAGATTTCATTCTGAACACGTGCAGAGACAAACATTTGAAAACAGGCCTTTTTTCTCCTTTTTGCTTTCGGCCTGACATTTTTGACCCTGTCAGTCTGAGGTGTCATCTTACACTCCTGAAATAGCTCTTTCAGCGGGGGGTTTCCACTGGAACTCTATTAAAATAAAGCTTCCAACAGAGGGTTTTTCCAATGATGCCGTTTTCTCAGGATCCCAAAAGAACCTTCCAGTGATTAGTTCTTTGAAAGAAAATGTTTTCTTTATGTAGTAGAAACTGTTAATAATCTAAAGAATATTTTCCACTGTAACTCGGCACATACCAACATAACGTAGTAGATTATAGGGATAGTTCACCTAAAAATGAAAATTGACTCAATAATTACTCACCCTCAATTGGTATCAAACTTTTATGAGTTCCTTTCTGATGAACACAAAGCATGGTATTTGGAAAAAAAGCTTGAAACCTCTAATTATTGACTTCCATAGTATGAAAAACAAATACTTTAAATGAATGGTTACCGATTTCCAGCTTTGTTCTGTATATTTTCTTTTGTGTTCAACACAAGTAAGAAAGACAAACAGGTTTGGAACAAGTTAAGCATGAATAAATGAAACATTTTCATATATGCATGGGTGAACCTTTCCTTTAAGCAATATTCACATTAAACGTTGTGCAGTTTGCTTCTCTTTATTTTGGCGTTAAACGTCTAACTTAAATGTACATACAAATAAGACTGACAATGTGCATAACAAAGAATGTGAAAATGTCATGTGGAGTTTCATTCTCAAAGTTTTCTGAGCATGCATTGATCAAGTTCTTGGGTCACTGTTTACTGATCACTGTGTTCTTTGACGATTTCTCACTTCCTGCCATTTTAACATTGTGCAACACGTAGTTCCACTTTTTATTTGATTTCTTTGGTATTTGTTCCTTGAATGGCTTGAAGCACATTGACTCATTGTGACCTGCTGCACTGTGTGTATCTGGTGGGAAAAAGCATGAGACATAAAGGGATAGTTCACCCAAAAATCTAAATTCTGCCAATGTTTACTCGTCCACTTGTTCAAAACATTTTAAAATACAAACGAAGATATTTTGAAGAAAGCTGTAAGCGGTAACCATTTATGTTCAAAATATTTATTTCCTATAGAAGTCAGTGGTTCCAGGTTTTCAGCTTTCTTCAAAATAGATTATTTTGTGTTCAATAAAAGAAACAAACCACTTGAGGGAGAATGAATAATAGGTTAATTTTTAGGTGAATTATTCTTTTAAACTCTTAATGTGTGATTATAAACCACACAAGAAGCCATTTTAAGTCCCAAACAAAAGCGCTGATAAAGTAAACAAGCATAGATGACCACAAGATGTTCAGGGAAGTATGATATATTTACATCATGGTGTTTACACTGCAAAAATAATTTAAATACAGAGTGATGTAATTACATTGTAATGTGGATGGAACATATGATGTAAAAGCTACAGGACAACACATATTTTTATGTTGCTTTAACTTAAAGTTAAAAACAGTTTAACCTAATATTTTTGGTCAGTTTGATTGATGTAAGTTGAGATAACTAGAAAAGTTAGTTTGATTCAGCTAACAAAAAGTTAAGTCGGCAAGATTGTTTTTAGTTTCTCTATAGCTTTGGTTTTATGTTTTTTTTTTTTAAATAAAATAAATATAATTTTCAGAAAGATTATTGACTGCTCCTCCTGAGAGTTGCATCAGAGTTTCGATTTTATCTGTTCTGACATCATTTACTGTAAATCATCTGCTGTCTGCCTTAACTGATGCATATCAGCGATTATGTTGTTTGTGGGAATGAGAACAGGTGATGAGTCTATTGAGTTTAAAGTAAAGGTATAAATGAATAAAGCAGTAGGATAGTGATCTTAGGTGTGTTTCAGTTCATGGGATTAACCTTGCAATCTTTCTTGAGATCCTAATTTACCTTAAGTAATAAAATGGGGTAAAAAAGGTGGGATAAAAGTCCTGCTTTGAATGTTATTCCCAGTTTGACAATTGGAACATTTATGACTGCTTTCTAGAGATCAGTAACTAACCATGATCTTCCACCAGTATGAAAAAAAGGGAGAAGAAACCTTTTCAGATATTGTAACTCTAAAATCCAGAGTTCCTGAATAATAAATACCTTTGTTTACAAGCAACAAGCTAACTACTATTGCTTGGAAACTAAAATGCTAGATTGCCCACAATCGATTTGTGTTGGGACAACATAAAGGAATTAAGTTAACTTAATAGATTTGAAAAATGTGAGTGGATTGAACATAAAACATTTAAGTTGTCACCAAAAAACTCAAAAGTATTGTGTTGTTTCAGCTCATTTTAAATGAGTAGTTTGAACAAAGACCAAACGTATTTTTTTGAGTGTACAAGTTAAAACACCTTTTTTAATCTTTTTCACACCAAAAACGCCAATAAGTTGATTTTATATTTAAGAGCGCTATCAGTACTGTATCAGAAAATTATTTATGATAATTATTAATATTTAGGATTATATATTATGTATAATATTATAACGATAAAACATCCATCCAGTTTAACTGCACAGTCCATTACAATTGAAAAATCTATTGTAAAATAAGTAATTAGCTTTTATATAGTCATGGCACTAAAGCAAATTATTATAATGTTATTTGATTAAAAAAATTTGATGTAACAAGTTGTTCAGATTAAGACAGGGGTCCCAAACTCCCACCCCAATCAGACACACCTGGGCTAGCTAACAGGTTGTTAGTTGTCTTGCTAGAAATGTCCAGGCAGGTAAGCTTTTCACTCATCATAGCACACGTGCTGCTGACGATGTGACAATAAAAGTGATTTGATTTGATAAAAAAAAGTGATTTGAGGTGTGTTGAGACAAGTTAGAGCTAAACTATGCTGGACAGCGGCCCTCCAGGACCAAGTATGGGCATCCCTGGCTTAATGTATATAGTATAAACTTGAAAATATACATTTCCTTTTAATTAATTATTTGTTTTTGCCTGCTAAAAAGACAATCTGGATAAAATATGTGTAAAAAAGTTTATTATATATATGATATAATGCAAGATATATGAATAATGCTTCAATCATGGTATTTCACATTTTTTAAGAGACTGATTCACGTTGCACAATGTAACAATAAATACAAAACAAATCAAAATATATAATAGTCTCACAGATGCATTGAACAATAATGGAGAGAAAACACAATGCTTGTTGTGAGCAAATGCATAACGAATATACAATAAAATAAAGTACAACTTAAAATATCTGTGCAAATGAAGGAAAACAATGATACCGTATGCACAAACATGCTGCATTCCAGTGGAAATGATAACAATGTTTGTAATGTCTCTTGCAACACAAGCTAAAGCAGCATTTTAGTAGCCTCTGACTATTTAATAATACAGTAATAACATCAAGGATAATAATAATTATAATAATATACAATTTATAGAGTGGTCAACTGCTGCCGTGCAGAGCAAGCCCCAATATACACTCAAAATTAAATTGGAGTGTAACTCATTGTAATGCCACAAATAACTGCATGGAAATGGCTGGTAACACTAAACTTGAAATTGTGAAATTCAAAGACTGAAGCTGTATTTCCTCTTAAAACACATTAGTGTAATCTTTGAAAAAGCATTGTATCTATACCACGAAAATCGTCTCATCAGACTCCAGAGGCTCTTGGCTTGTAGGTCCTCCATTCTCACTGTTTCTCCAAGGCAAGCCGGAGTCCATCACAGGCTGCCTGCATGGCACACCGATACCCATTTCCTGTGAAGGGGAAGTATTGCATGTTTCAAACAGGATTTCAAATTTATTCTTTGAATCTCCAGGTTCCTGCCAAATCAGCAGCTCGTATCGTCCGAAACGGAGGAGCACTTTGTCATTAAGCTCAGCTCGTTCAAGGTGTTTCAGTTCAGAGCCGCCGACCATCAGATTGACTTTCTGGCTCAAGTTCTGGATGGTGAAGCTCAAGATAGAGCTGTTGGGTTTTCTGTACGCCTGTACTGAGAGCTGTTTTCTGGAGACAGTGGTGTCATTTAGCACAAATAGGCAGGTTTCTCCATCACGGCCAAGCCTGAGTGGATCTTCAGCGTCCATTTCGTATGGTTCGTTCAAGGGCAGGTTGTGGAAGAGCGGACGGTTGGCTTGATTCGGGTGGAAAAGTTGTACGTGAAGACAAGTGAGCAGTTCTTGAGTCTCAAGTTTGCTAATGTCACCCATTGTGAAAGACAGGAGGGAGAAGAACTTCTGATATTTAGACCTAAGAAGAAAAAATTATATATATAAAAATATATATTCTATTTATTAATTTTATTTAATATTTCCCCGCTCCCCAACATATTAAAGTTAACAAAAGTAAATAGGATTCCGGCTTTCTTCTAAATATAGTTTGTTTTTAACAGATGAAACTCAAAACATGGGCCGAGGGGAGTAAATTAGAATTTTCAATTTTGGTTCAACTATACTTTTGGTTTGTAGGACAACAGAAAGCACTTAACCAAATCAATGACCTGATTCATAGCACTACGCTAGCGAACTATTTTAGAGTTGCCTATGCTGTTTGTAAACACATGTAGCATAAGTAAAGTTTCGTAATAAATAAAATGAAACAGACGCTCACCTTCAGAAACTGGTTGCAAAGATTATCGACTAACGGACAGCTGCTCCGAACGGACTGTTAGTAAGAACTGCAGAAAACAACAAAGGGGGTTGCATCAGAAGCACTGAAATCCACCCCTTCCAGCCTGGGACATGTGACACTAGAAAATTCCCGAGTTGCGCAATGCATGAGACTTGAATACTTAAGCTATTTGTACAATAATATGTTATAATCACAGAATTATTTATCCTGTAAACTTGGAGTGGAGAAGACTCGTTATTATTGAAAAAAAGTAGGGAAATAAAGTTAAATGTTTAAACTTGAAGCACTCGAGACATAATAATGAATAAAATGATTGTTTATATATTACTAAAACCCGTTTATGGTCATTATTTTATGAGGTCTTATCAGCCATTCCCGATACCGTCTTAAAAAGCTGTACAATGACGAAAGTTGATGAGAAATGTTAGCCTCCATCGGCTTTTCCAGGAAGGTGTTGTGTGTAGATTGCATGCTAATTTCGTCATCACAACCAAGTGTTTTTCGAACAATGTTGGAGTCCCTCCACAAACAATATATTTTTAAATCCTCTCCCTCATTTGTAATTTCTTAATTTAAATCGATTCCTTACTTTTCTAAAAACAAAAAGTGTGGAAGTAAACTTAAAATGAATCTTGAATAAAAATATCTTGGTTCCAGTAAATTAATTCTGTTTTTTTTTCTTTTCTTTTTTTTTAAATTTGTACTCCCCCTTTATTTTTTTCTCATTTGTAACTTATTGTTCTTATCACCTGTTTGTAGCCTACTTGTAGTCTCTCTTACAGATTACTTCCTGATTTATATTGTACATTTCTTCCTTTCTAAATAAATGTTTTCTAAAAAAGCAATGTTGGAGACCCAAAGACATTTTATTTCATTAAAAATCCTATTTAATAAACATATATTAAATACAATTTCGGAACTATCATTTATCCATGTTACAATTTCGGAACTATCCTCTATGTAGATACTTTTTTTTTGTAGCGAATAATTAATCAAACCTGATTTAAATTTCATGTCTGATATAAGTTCGCAGCTAACTCGATAACAACAATTCACGTAATGACGTTAGTGTGTTTACTGCGTCTCTTTCAAGAGACGTTGGTGAATGTTGAAAGACTTGTTGGGTGGGATGAACAACAGATCTGTTCTTCTGACAATTTCCCTGAATTGGCAAAGGGATCCTGAGATTTTCGTATAAAAACTTGTTGCGTTTCATATAAATGTTTAACCTGATCCTGTTGAACATCATTAAACGCTTATGCATTTTCTTTCATTATTGATTTCAGTTCTCGTAGTTGCCATGGTAGCACACAACATAATCGATGCATCTATGCTCGACTTTTACAGTTTCACAACAGTAATGTGCACGAGCAGTTATCTAGATTATTGAAACTGAACTCGGATAAAACGATGTTCAACTTGCTCTTATGGAGCCAGTTTAAGCGTGGACGTTTAGTTCGGCTGACTGAAGTCAGGTTTTTGACTTTAATCCCCGCTTTTTCTAAACCACTAAAAGCTTTTATGAAACAGCCTCCAGCTTCAGTGTTTGCAGTAGTTTATATCGGAGTCTGAATATGACTGATTTAATCTTCATTAGCTGTCCGTCAATATATCATGTAAACAATCCCAAATCGTTACGATTTATGTACATCACATAATCCTGTTTTACTTTATTCTACTACAGAGTATTCCGCGTGATGCACGTTGTAAAATTTGATTGGCTTATTGTGCCATAAGGGCGGGACTAAAGAAATATATTACTGAATGACCCACCCTCTTCCTCATTGTGGCGAGGAGAAAGCGGTGAGTGTTAGTTCCTGTTCTTTGACCTTTATAAACTTGATTTTAAATTATCACCAGCGTATATAATTTATTATTTTTGACGCATGTAATGTATATATGTATAGTGCGTTGAAACCCTATTAATTTACTAACCGTAAAAAAATCGTCTGATCGTCGTTATCTCGGCGCGCAACGGCTGTTCGGCTAACACTAGCTAAGCTAACAGCGTTAGCTTATTCAAACCTAAAAACGAAGTTTGCTTTTAAGGCACGGGCCATATATCAACGATCATTCGCTGTATTCCTTTTGTAAGTAATGCTTTTTCGAATATAAGTGTTTTAAAGGACATCCCGTGAATTTTCAGAGGGTTTGTTCGATGCGTGCTAGTCACCTAGCATTAAGTAATCACACGAGGCCGTGGCGTATGTCGTAGGGACGTGTTATATTTTTTTTCTGAGTGGCAAACTTTGTTAGTTTATATTGAATAGTTTTAACGTAATCACTTTTATCAAGTAGTATTTGCATATATGTAGGAGGAAATGGTTTAAAAGAATTTGCATAAACTGGTCTGACTTGATGTGCTTCTCAGTTACAGTAAAATGAAAGCTTTCGATTTCATTTTTATCTTAAGGCGTGTTTTTCTCATAGTAAGCTATATTTAGGTTCAACATGCATACCACAGCGCATGATGTAACCACAATTGATTGTATTGGATTCTGGTAGCTCATTAAAGTGTTTTTTTTGGGTTTTGTCTGTTTATAGGCTTGGCATAACACATCTGCAAAGATGGTGAAGATCTTCATTGGTAATCTGCCTCAGCAGGCAGAAGTAGACGAATTAAAGTCTCTGTTTTCGCAATATGGAACAGTCACTGAGTGCGCCATTATCAAGAACTTTGCATTCGTCCACATGGATGATCGCAAAAGTGCCACAAAGGCTATCAAAAACCTTCATTTGTACAAGCTGCATGGAACACCCATCAATGTTGAAGCAAGTCGGGGCAAGAACCAGGGTCCAGTGAAGCTTCACGTTGCCAATGTGGAGAAGGGAACCGATGATGAACTCAGAGCACTGTTCGAAGATTATGGCACCGTTGCAGAGTGTGCCATAATTAAGAACTTTGCCTTCGTACACATGAACAACTCTGATGAAGCCATGGATGCCATCAAAGGGTTGGACAACACTGAATTCCAAGGTATAAAGCTGTTGTCTAATTGCTTGCTTCCATTTACACACTTGTGGCATTTTCAAGTATTGATTTTGTTTTTGCTATTGCAGGCAAACGAATTCATGTGCAGATTTCCAAGAGCCGACCAAGAGGAGAGGAGGATGACTATGGTCACCCTGATGCTGGATACTGGCCACCCCGTTACCCCGGTGAACGCCCAGAGCCCCCTGGTTATCCTAGGGGACGCTATGGGTACCCCCCTGGCCCTCCTCCACCCCCGCCACCTCCCCCGCCCAGACGCTCCCCATACCCAGATCGTGCTGCTCCAGCATACGAGCGCCAACGCGATGTGGTTGACTATTATGAGAAGTACCGCGCTCGTCCTTACGGTGTCGCATATGATGACCGTCGTCCAGGCGGCATCCCCCCACCCCCTCCGCCCCCATCTTCCGCTATAATGAGAGATCGAATGCCTGGCAATGGCCTTGACCCCTATGAGCGACGCCCCCTCCCACCCCCGCCAGCTTCATTCTATGCACGAGACCGCAGTCCCATCAGACGCGCTCCTCCTGCCCCTCCGGCACCCGCAGGAAATGGTTACTCATATGAGCGTTCTCGTCTCTCCCCCGTCTCCATGTCTCGGGCCCCGATGTACAGCGTGCCTCGGCCCAGAGACCCCTATGCTGACAGAGCGGCGCCTCCTCCACCACCTGCGCGCTACTATTAGAGTGCACACCTGTGCTTTTGTAACCCAAGGTGAGAATAGGACCCGCAATCTAAAAATGCCCTAAAACTCAGGTTTCATGTACTTTTTTATTTTTTTAAATATATATATTTTTTTCATTTCTGCGTGTGATCTAAATGATGCGCACATAGCAGTAACGTAAACTTTGTATCAAAGGTGCTGGTTCGTAAATTCACGAATGGTCTTTTTAAAGCAGTGCTCGTGTAACAGTGGCCTTCGCATCGAAGTGCTTTAGATTGTAAATTGAAGTGACCGTATTCATTCTTCGTAAAATTGAACTAGATTGCACATAAATATGTTCTTAAACTTGTCGGTTTTATTTAATCTCAAATGACACTGCAGCCGTTTGACTCATGTGGTTTGCTCTCTTTCCAGGTGTAAATTATTCAACAAGATCGTCGTCGTCGTCTCCAGGTGCACGTCCCGCGATACGTCTTTGTCTGCCAGAGCGCGTTGCGTTCGCCTGCGCACCATAGTGGAAGAGTTCTGTTGCGGACTGCACATTCTATAAAACAACCGCTTTTACACGCTTAAAATCGTCCTCATGATAAATTGTCAATTCTGCTATTTTTTTTATTATTTTGCCTTTGTTTTTATTGTTTAGCTTTTTATAGGTGAGTGCAGCACTAAGCCAGATTACGTAAATTAGGTTAATTTGCTGGTTTAAAGAATAAACCCATTTAAGGGTAAGGATAAGAGTTTCTTTCAAAGAACACATGTATCACACTGTACCTTTTATCTTTAAAATCTGGATGAGTTCTTTTGTTATCAATCTACTGTAACATGCGCTATGACAGAGTTTTGATTCAGAGCTAAAAATACATTTGTGTATAAAATTTCTTTTTCCCTCTCCTTTTCCTCTCCAATACATTTGTTAGTGCGGCATGCAAGTACGAATACAGTCTCCGCAGCAATAAAACATTTTCGTTTACTGGCTTATTGAAGTTGTGCTGTAAGTGTGTATTTTAATTGCAGAATATCGCAGTTCAAAGACTTTGTATCTTTTTCTTTCATAGGGACAGTTGAAAGTTTTAATAAAAAGACTGGAACATGGATCGTCGTTTTGCTTTTTTTGCCAACCTGTTAAATTTGCCTAAAAGGGCATAGAAGTTACCAAGCAACCTGGTTATTGAAATATTCGCATTAGAATTCATAACCCCTGGTTAGCATTACGAAGTATGGGACTGCATCTGCGGCGAAATTCCTATCATTCTATCGACACTTCGTCTGTATTTGCAATAAACCAGTGGCGTCTAAATTTATGTACTCAATGAAATCGTTTAGAATCAAGTCTATGGACTTCCCAATATTTTCATAAACAATCAATGGTTCTTTTATAAACTTAATGTATGATTTATGCCAGGTAAGTTACTTGATGTATCAAGGTTAAGCATGCATTTTATCTTGATTGTAACAAGGTGTAGGTTTATAATGCATATAGCCGTACTGCATCTACAAGTTACTTTGTAAAATAGACTTGATTCAGGCTGGCCTCCATGATTAAGGGTAAGTTTTATGTGAACAGTTAATGATTTTTCCCCCCATTTTATTCTGTCTTGTGCAAATACTGCAATAAAAATATATAAAGATGGCTGTTCTGTCATTTTCCTCATGATTATTATATGAGATGAAAAATGCATGTGATGCATCCATAATGTTCTCAATAAAAGCATATGTTCATTTGGTAAGTGCACAAATAAATACATTTTAAATAAAGCAATAAAGGTTTTGATGTAAAAGTATCACCTGTTTAGATAAAATAAAAACGGTGCATACGAGTTTTTCATAGTTGCATGTTAATGTCCGCACCACTCAAAGAAAGCTACACAAATTATAAAATCTTTTTTTATACGTTTAAAGAGTTAATTTACGCATTTTTTGTTCACCAGAGTGTTGAATATACCAAAATATATAGATATATCACAAAATAGATATACATATTGCTATCAAACACTTGTGTACGTGTACCGCATACATAAACTCGACTGCATACGCTACTATACAGGTATATAAAACGCAACCAACGCTACGGTAGTACCTTTTAATATGCAAGCACTTGCATTAATGTTTATCGGTAATGAAGACTGGACACATATTTTGTCTTATTTGAAATATTTTAAGCACCGTCTTCGCAAGCTATTCAGACATTTGATAGCTTTGCGTTTTTCCTGTTTGCTTGTGGACCGGAAGTGCTGTTGGTGACGGCGGGCGACTCCATTTTAGGCTTCATTCATCTTCGCAGGGCGGTGAGATTACGTGCTCGCAACGGTAAGGCAATGCTAAATCAGTACAACATGCGATTTTGATTGTGCTTAATACCACTGTTAGTTTAAATTCTACATTTACTTAATGTAGTTAATAGCGGAGTGCTACAAAAACGAGTATTCATGATAAATCGACGTTTATTTAAGTGTAACTTGATGTAACGCTAGTCGTGTTAGCTTAGCATAACAGAGCCGACATCATTGGCCTACAGCTTTTTAAAAAATCAACCGACGCTTATCGGCCTTACAAATTCTTGTATCGGGTGTTAAAATACATATTTTATATATAATGATAGACACCGAAAGGGGGTTAATTCGTGATGGTCACGCGACTCCGTGGCCTAACTTACAACGCGAGTAAATTCAGCTGCGCCACAACTTCCATTTAAAACTGAAACCGATCTTACACTTTACACACACACACACACACACACTGCGTGTTTATGGCTGAGCTGTATGTAAATCATTCTGATACGATCGATTAGTTGTGTTTGGTTTGTAGGCCAACACAACAGTGATGTAGGGAAACATCTGTTGATATAACGTGCATTTCGAAACTATGCTCCCTCTGTCCAGGATTAAACGGCAACAAAGATGGTTAAGATCTTTATTGGCAACCTATCCCCGACCTCGACCGCGGACGATCTGCGCTCTCTTTTTTCGGAATTCGGCATAGTAAAAGAGTGCGACGTGCTGAAAAATTATGGCTTCGTGCACATGGATAGTAAGAAGGAGGCCGAAGCGGCTATCCGAAAGCTGCACCATTACGAGCTGAAGGGTCAAGCCATAAATGTGGAGCTGAGCAAAGGAAAACCAAGGGGCTCCACCAAGCTCCATGTGAGCAACATCAGCAGTGGCTGCACCAACCAGGAGCTTCGGGCTAAGTTTGAAGAGTACGGACCCGTGGTTGAGTGTGATATTGTGAAGGACTATGCATTTGTTCACATGGAGAGAATGGATGATGCCATGGAGGCCATCAGTGGGCTGGAGAACACCACATTCCAAGGTGAACAATAACCCTGAAACGACGAAAGTCCATGGTTTCCCAAAGTTGCTTTTAACTCCTTACATTTTTTTTCTAGCATGGGAAGAATGTGCTACAGGTTTTTCTAGAACTTTGGTATACTGATATTATACTATTCGTAATTTACTCAACTTCAGGTCATTCCAAACACCTAAGGGGTAGTTCCCCTCCAAGTAAATTATCTTTCTAAATGGTTTGCAAACCTTAATGAGTTGAGTTCAGGGGCGGACTGGCCATCTGGCAATTATGGCAAATGCCAGAAGGGCCGGACCAATTTTTAAATGTGGGCCGGTCAGTTTTTTTTTTTTTTTTTTTATATATTGTTTTTACGTGCAGGAAGCTTTTATTATTATTTTATTATTATGATGTTGATAAAAAAATAAATATAATAATAATAAATGTTAAGCATTTGGCCCAATCGGCGACGGCCGCCTGATTTCAAGATTGGCCGACCCAATCCAAGATTAAAATCTGGCAAGAATGTCATATTATTTTACCATCTGTACACCAAAATAAATACTGAATGTGCGTGTCCGTGGGTGGGGCTGTGTCGGTGTGGTAATGTGGGCTGATGTGGTTACAGTGCCAGGGCTGAATTTTTGTCCCAGTCCGCCCCTGGTTGAGTTTATTCTTTGCGTTAAACACAGAGATCTATTGATGAATGTTGGAAACCAATAGTAATAGGCCCTTTTTACATATCTGGGTTTCTCGGCAGCAGAAGTCGTCTTAGTTGGGTAAATTTGTAGGGCAGTGCGTGAGAGAGTACTACAAATCTTTTTTTTACAATCCTGTTTGCTGAAATAATAAAAGAAAAACGCCAAAATAGTGTTATCAAGACTTTCAGAAAAAGGGGGAAAAAAAAAAAAAAAAAAAAGAGTCAGACTGAGGCAAGTTTACTCTCTGCCCCATAGACGCTGCATTAGAAACATCTCGCATAAGCTGTAAATAGTTTTTTGTAATTTGACACAAAGGTGATGTAATACATAAATGTTAATACATTTTAAAAACTTAAAAGAATTTAGGATTATGATGTCCGTTGAAAATGTCATAAGTTTTGTGAAAAGGGTCTATTGGCTTTAATTGTTGGTAAAATTGGAAAAAGGTACTGATTTCCAACCAACATTCTTCATTCTTCTTTTCAACTAAAAAGTGACGCTCAAACGGGTTTGGGACATGTGAAGAGTGAGTAAATAATATTTTTTTTTGCTGAACAATCTATTATTACGCTTCATCTTTTTTTTTTACACAAAAAGAAGCTATTTTTAGTGAAAATTAAGTTTTTTGGGTCTTGCCATTAAAAGTCTATAACCAGGATGATTTAAACATTTAAAAATAATTATTTCTCTTCAGAACACTTGGATTAATCACTTAATTTATTTATGATATAAAGTTTCTAGTTAGTTGGTAAAACTTTATCCGCTCAGATATTGGCTTTACATGTATTCATATATCATAACAATATGTATATATGATAGTTTATAGTATGTATATATAAATATATTATTTTTAAAAAGAAAGAGATTTCTGACCCTCCATTATTGTAACCAAAAAAAAGTTTATAAACTGATCATTTAATCCAAGGCTTCTGGACAAACTCAGTTTGGAATGACCCTGAGGGTGAGTAAATAGTGCCAGTCTGTTACTTTTTCGGTGAACTAACCCTTAAAGTGCTGTAAGTACAAAGTAGCTGTCTTGATGCAATAATTCTCTCTTTAAAATGACGGTTTACGTGAGCGGAAGAAAGTTTTACATTGTCTTGCGTGTGTTTTCTTCCTCTCAAAAGGCAAGCTGATCAAAGTACAACTGTCCACGAGTCGTCTTCGTACAGCGCCCGGCATGGGAGACCAAACCGGCTGTTACATCTGCGGAGAACAGGGCCATTGGTCCAAAGATTGCAGGCATAGCCAGAATGGTAGCTATGGCGGAGGCATGGGGGGATACCCCAGTAGAGGCCCTCCAAGAGGCGGCCCGAGTTACGGCATGGGTGGCCCTGGGGGTCATCCTAGTAGAGGTTACCCAGCAGGGCCACTTCCCCCTCCCCCACCCATGAGTCGGCGTCCCAGCTATGGCGAGTATGGAGCAGAGCCTCGAGAACGGTACCTAACCAGGGTGCCGACCGGCTATCCTGAGCGGCCTCCTGTGTATGAACGAGATCGCTTCGGGAGCATTGACTATTACGAGAAGTTTCGGGCTCATCCAGCTGCCTCTAGCTACTATGAGGATAGGCCTCACGCCATCCCCCCTCCTCCACCTCCTCCCCCCCTCTCTTCTTCCTCCCTCTCAAGGATGCGATTGGCTCCTCCCAGCCTTGATCCCTATGAGCGACGCTCTCTGGCGCCTCCACCTCCCACAGCAGCAGCAGCGAGCTTCGCGCGGGACCGTAGTCCAATCAGACGTGTGGGCGCCGGTGCGGAAGGCTACTCGTACGAGCGCTCGCGACTTTCCCCGGTCTCAAGGAGCTCATCGGCTTACAGCCTGCCGCGGGCCAGGGAGGGATACACCGAGCGAGTTCGATACGCATACTAAGCCACACACATGCTAAGGTGAGCGAAATGCGGGTCGTTCAATTTGAGATATCAGCGTGATCTGTTCTCTAAGCGTAAACCGTTTCGAGTGCACTAGTAAGCAAAGCCACTTTAATTGGGTTCAAATGTATAGCCAAAAATAACCTGTTGAGTGTTTTGTCTCATGAAAATATTTTTTTTCCATTTTTTTTCTTTCTTTTAGGTATTGTCAAGTGATGAGACTTCTGCTCCACCGATATGACTTTGGCTTGATCAGATGCTTTATTGGATTTCAAAGATTCAGGATTGGATAGGCACATTCAACACAATGCTTATTAGCCCGCCATGTTAATGTATTACCCATGATACACAAACTGTTGTTTAATTAAAAAATGGAGACATTGATTCATGATTGCAAAGAAAGTTTTGGTTTCTGCTTAGCTTTTCACTTTTATCAGGAGGTAAGGTGGGGTTTTTCATGTCAGCATAATATTTTAACTGCTATTAATTGCGATTTAAAGATGCATATTTAGTTTCTTTTTAACGAATTGGGTTTTTTTTCTGCTTTTCCCTGTCATGTTGTGATCACTTATTTAGTTTTTGTGCTCCAATTTTTTTCCTTTTAGCTGTTGGGTTGACTTGCCACCTTATTTTTTTAGTTTTTTTTTTTGAGTTTTTGTGAGGACAATCTGGTTATTTTTCTTTTGGCAATAATAATGCCAGCATTGTGTATATGCGGGGGGTGTGGCAATCTGTAATCCTGCAGCTGCAACAGACTTAATGGGAAAATAAACTCAAATTCGACATTCCACTTTCTTTTTATTCTTATTTTCTACAGATGATTGGTATGTACAAACTGTTTTTACATCTTGCTCGTTGAAATGTCTTGTATCTAATGCGTTAAACTGGACATACAACTTGTTACTTTACCAATGTCTGTGAGTGTTTTTTGGGAGCTTGTTTAATTGAATATACTAAGGTTGTTTGATCGTTTCTCCCTTCTCAACTGACTTAAAAAAGAAAATAAAAAAGATCTGATTTAATACAACCCAAGTAGTTGGGCAGCTTTCAGGTGGATGCAAACTGTATTGTGTTCTGTTCACACAAATGACTGTTTATGACAGGAGATGTTTAGATTGTAAAAAGCACCACGTAGATGAAAAGGTTGGCTTCACATGGAAGCGAATTGAAAATCTGAATGCGATGTGCTGACCAACTCTCACTCAGGGCTTTGTCCACCTTCGAGACTGCTGGCGTTCACTGGCGTTTCTTCTTTAATGGGTGCCTTGGGGAAGTTCTGTGAAAATGTTTATAAATTTGGTTTTCTGTAGTTTGTATATTTCCTACAGAAGTCAGGAGTGTGTTTTATGAATTATCTTTTGTAATAAACCGGTATTTTGGTGACAATAAATCTGTCTGTGCTTCATACTAACATCTTATTTTCTTTAGATAGTTGCTATTCATTTTACTTTATCGTATTTGGGGCTTGGTGCTTATGTAACATAATGGAATGAACTATCTGGCCACGTGCTTGGTGGAAAAAAATGTCTGAAAGCTGTCGAATTGCGAGCAATTTCAGCATATCTTCGGTGGAGAAATGAAAAGGGGATGGGCAGCAGTGCTAGCATCATGCGATTCTCCAACCAGCCTCGCTTTATGCGACGCAACAGTGACGCCATTTCATCTCGCACCGGCTTCTGCAAGCATTGTGAAAAGGTATGAAACACATCCATTGTTACGTATAAATAACACAATGTTTTCTAGATTAACGTTTAATCACTTTGTTTTAGCTTTTGTGTATGTCGATGAGGCGTTTTGTTCGTTCTCTACAGTGCTTTAGCCTTTATTCTGGTTAGCTAGTTGCTGCAAGGCTAGATGGATGGTGGGCTAACTTGGTTTGGGTAACGCATGCCAAGTGAATGCTTTGGATCCCATTGTTAATACACAACTTGTCGCGTATTGATGTTTTAAATGTATAGATTTTGTCACTACGCGCCTCGTAAATCAGTGCACGGAAGATAGTTTTTCTTTTCTCCCATTGTCCTCTGCTAGTAATGGGAAGCCCGCCTCGTTTTGCGACTTCTTTTGAACAGTTTTGTGGCGTGACTGGAGATAAATCTTTAATGCACGTTTCCACAATACAATTATTTGTTAGAAGGAACTTTGTAGCTGTGCAATAATTTAATGTAGCATTTCTCCTCGTTTATGGAGCCAGCTCAGTCTCAAAAATAATACATTTACAAAATGAAAACATGCATGCACAACACAATTCACATTTACAAAATCCAATTTGTAAACGAAGTTTGTGAATCCACAAGTAAATATCATAAATATTTAAGCCAAATAAATTGGAGTTGCGTATTTTTAAATCGTGTTTCGAACTTACGAATTAGATTTGTGTATTTATGAACCGTGTTTTGAATTCACAATCTGATTTTGTAAACATGAATTGTGTTTGTTGGAATTTTACTTTGTAAATGTATTCTTTTTGAGACCGATCAGGCTCCGTAGTTTACTAGTTTTTGTACCGTAATCCAAATGTAGTGTAAAGTGATCAAATCCTATTCATCCACAAGAGAGAGTCTTAGTTTTATGATTTAATTAACTGTTCACCTGAGATGAGAAACACTCCATTTAGTTCCAATTCAGCCGAATCTTCCTAAAGATTGGGTTAATAATAAAAACTGTTTTGGATTCAGACCATGATGTCAACATCTGTGGAACAAATGACCAGATTTATACAGTTTTTCCATCATTTAGATTTTAAGCTTAAAACAAGCAGTTTGTTAGTAAATTATGTCAATTGTGTGCATTGTGTTTAAAGTGATAGGAAATTTCTCATTTACTCACCCTTCACATGTTCCTCTGTATTAGCATTTTTCCTCTGATTAAAACAATTTTTTTGTAAAACACGGGTAAACAAACTGTTCTTGTCCCTTATTTACCCTGGTCACATTATTATGGAAGTCAGTGGGAAAGTTGATCTACCTCAGCAGGAAAAAAATGAACTCATACAACACAAGTTTGGAATAACTTAAGGGTGAGTACATTTTGGCAAATTTTCAATATTGGTGTGAACTTTCCTTTTCAAATGATAGTTCACCCAAAAATGAAAATGTAGTCAGTGTTTACTCTCCGTCAAAGTGATTCCAAACCGTTGAATGTTTTACTTTTTATACACTTCTATCCCTTTAAATGTGCCTTTTATGGAATTATAAACTTGTATGAAGCTTACCATTCTTTTTAAATGTGCACTACATGTTCTTGATTTTTCTGTTTTCTTTTTCTCTCAACAGATCCTGAAATTTGAATTTACATTATTAAAATGGTGAAAATCTTTGTTGGGAACCTCTCGCCGAACACTACGGCTGAGGAGATCCGTTCCCTCTTCTCTCAGTATGGCAAGATCTCAGAGTGTGACATTGTGAAGAACTTTGGCTTTGTGCACATGGATAGCAAATCGGAGGCAGATGAAGCCATTCAAAATCTTCATCATTACATGCTGAATGGTATGGCCATGAATGTGGAGATGAGCAAAGGGAAACCCAAGACCTCTACAAAACTCCATGTGGGAAACATCAGCAGTAGCTGCACCAACCAAGAACTCAGGGCCAAGTTTGAGGAGTACGGACCTGTGGTTGAGTGCGATATTGTGAAGGACTATGCTTTTGTTCACATGGAGCGAGTGGAAGATGCTATGGAAGCCATCAGTGGCTTGGACAACACAGCCTTTCAAGGTGAACCAGTATGGTCCTTTGACCTGTTTAAATAAAGAAAAATAATATTATCTTGTTACATTACCAAAAGTGAGCATTTCAGGTTGGTAAGTAGAAAAATTGGTAAGTGATAAGTGAGTATAATTTGGTTTATTTACTGCTAGCTTACTATACAGAGATCTATGGAGGATGTGAATGTAGTTCTAAAATGGCATTTTTTATATCAGCCAAAAACACAGGACAAAATGGACAATGGGATGACCTTAGTGTAAATTATTTGAAGTAAGAGTAAATGTGTCTTTTTTTTCCCACACAGACAGTTCATTGTTCAATGTTAATGTTAACATGAAATTGACTGTTTTAAAGTCCATAGGTTTCTTTACTAGTAATTTCTTAATTTAGTCATTATGAGGGCCTCATATTTAAATTACCCAGTACACTTCTATTATTATTATTCTTTTCAAATTGAACATTATAAAGTCATGCCTTGGCCCACACGGAATCTGCGAGCGCAGTTTTTTTAGCCCATCATTAAGCCTATGTATTTTCTTGTGTATGTTTAAATTAATTTCACTAATATTATTGTGATTATAATAATATTAATATTAAAATCTTCATATGATTTATTTACAATACAGTTTGTAAAGTCATATTTTCTGTCTTTTAGTAGAGAAATTATATGAGAGACTTGCTTTGTTTACCAAATAGGTGGATCTAAATGCATTATAAACATTTAATGAAAGTTAAAAATGTATTATTTTTTATTTTGCATATTAAGATTTTAGTTATGATGCTCCTGAAATCATTCCACATAAATTCACAGAAATGTATTTATATATTTGTTTTTTTACAAAATTCTCTGCAGAAATAGCAAAAAAATGTCCACAGATTCTGTCTGGGCCTAGTCATGCCATTTGTTGTAATTGGCCATCTTTTTATGTCCTCTTTTGCTCTGAAATTCTTCAGATTGCAGAAGTAACGTGAGGTTTTATGTTGACATTAAAGGGATAGCTCACCCCAAAATGATAGTTTACTTGCCATCAGGTGGTTCCAAACCTCTTGAGTGTTTTATTATTTTTTTTGTTCTGTTGAACACTTGTGTGTTGGAAATTGTGGAGCTGTGCATCGATGTATTTGCTCTTCAGTATTTGGCCTTTCAGCAATGAAAATTTAACCATACTGAACTAAACTGAACTTCAGCTGTGAAAACTGGACTGACACTGTTTCAATTTACCAGAACTTCCATGTTAAGCTGATTTACTTTGTAAAAGTGCTATAGAAATAAAGATGAATTGAATTGAGAAAGCTGAAAAATGGTAATCATTGATATCCATAGGAAAAACAAATACTATTAAGGTCAGAGACTACCTACTATTTTATAATATCTTAACTTCTTACTAGTTTGGAACAATTGAAGGGTGAACATTTAATGACAGTATTCTAAGTTTTGGAATGAACTATCCCCTTTAATTTAATAATAAACTGTGATGGTTTCAATGCTGAGTAAAAAAATAATAATTTTTGGCCGTGTCTTTGTCGATAGTTGTTGTGAATCGTAGTGTGAAGTGTAAGTTATGGCTGCATTAACTGTATTGACGTTTGCTCCGTGTTTAGTAAAACAAAACCATCATGGCAAATTTTTTCTTTTCCTTAAGGCAAACTGATGAGCGTGAAGCTTTCGACTAGCCGCCTGCGTACCGCGCCGGGAATGGGAGAGAGAACGGGTTGTTATCGGTGCGGACAGGAAGGCCACTGGTCCAAAGAATGTCCATTGGACCAGAACGGCTCCTACAGAGAGGGCCCGAGCTCGGAAGGATTTGGGCCTGTCAGGTTCGATTCGGGCGGCGATCGTGGCCGGGGTTTTCATCGCGGCTTCAGTGGCGAGCCAGCCTACGCTGGCAGCTTTGCACCTTCACATGGCTTCACCCGTGGAGCAGGGTATGCTGTCCCTGGGTATGGAAGGGGTGCGGGTTTTGAGAGTGCAATGGGTTATGGTATGCCAGCGGGCTACGGTGTTGGCGCGGATAATAGCATGGCTCCAGTGTACGGAAGCGAGGCTGCGTATGGGACTAGTGGCATGGCCTACCCCGGTGCGTTGCCTGCGTACCCGATACGACGACCACCTTATGAGGAAAGAGATCCGTATGGTGTAGTGGACTTCTACGAGAAATATCGGGCACGTCCGTACGGAGGCAGTTATTTCGAAGATAGACGCGCGGTTCAACCTCCTGTCCCTCCTCCCCCCACTTCTACGCCAGTTGTGAGAGAGCGCCTGCCCTCTAACCTTGTCGACCCATATGAGCGCCATCCCCTTCCCCCTCCTCCGGCTCCCACCTCTTCATACTATGTCCGTGAACGGAGCCCGGTCCGACGAGCTCCACACGAGGCGGAGGGATACGCGTATGAGCGGTCGCGCCTCTCTCCCATCTCTGTGCTTCCCAGGACTGCTGCGTATGACGTGCCGCGGGATCCATACGCTGAACGGGCGCGCTATGCTTACTAGCCTAATTCCTGTGCGCACTCAGGTGAGATCTTTTTAGGATCATAAAAGGTTAGGGCACAAACTAAAAGCTGTTTTCAGGGGAATTACTATCATCATTTATTCACCCTCAGATACTATATAAAAAATATATATATATACATATACATACATAATGTCAAGACATACTGATTTGAAATGGCATGAGGGTTAATAAATGATGATGGAATTTTTTTTTTGGATGAAGTAGGTTTTTTTAAATGCTGTCTATCATTGGGAAGCAATTTTTATTCATGTCAAATTACCTGAATCTCACATTTTGCAATGTCCATATTACAATTATTTATAACCTCATGTATTTAAACTAGAGGCCAAATATGGTCATAAATATTTGACACATTATTATTTTTAGATGTAATGAATGTATTACTTTACCTATCAAGTGTCTTATTTACATTTCAGGTATGACAGTATTGGCACGTGGAAGTCCACTAAACTAAAGCCGGAATGATTGACAGTTTTGTGATAATCTCTTCTCTGTGCAGGTGGCTCTTGGTTGCACACGGAACATTTTAGAAGTTGTGATGCTTCCTGTCTCGACTGGGTCACAGGCAGTAGAGATGGCCCACATCTCGGCACTAATCTACTTTTATTGTCATAAACTTGATGTAGTCCTGTGTTTTTGTTTTATTTTTATTTTTTTTTTTATTCTTGGTACAAAAAACTGTAAATATTTTCTTCATTAATTAAAAAAAAAAAGTTTAAAAAAATCTTGTCTTTTTTTCTCTCTAGATCAGGGGTGGCCAACCCTGTTCCTGGAGAGCCGCCTTCCTGCAGATTTCAGTTGCAACCCTTATTAAACACACCTGCCTGTAATTATCACGTGGTGTTCAGGTCCTAATTAATTGGTTCAGGTGTGTTTGATATGGGTAGCAAATGAAATCTGCAGGAATGCGGCTCTCCAGGAACAGGGTTGGCCACCCCTGCTCTAGATTAACACAATTGGGTTTTTGCAGTTGCTCTGGACACATAAATTGGGTCAAAGACACATGGTGGAAAACGGAAAAATTTAATTTTGCAGTTTCCCTTTATTTAGTAAATCTTGGAGAGCTCCTATCAGAGAATCTCACTCAGGCTGATAAACAATATTATATTAAATCATGGTAATTTATGTCAATAACAATGATAAGCTCTGGACTTATTTACTCCGTATGATCTAAGAACTAATCAAACAGCAGAAATGTGCAACAATGGGAATCGAAAAGTATGATGATATTAGAGATGTGAGGATTTAAGAGATTTTCAGTCACCAAAAAACTTTGGGCCGACAATACATTATGCCATTTAAGGGACCCTCCAATTTTTGTACCTTCAGTCATTGTTGGGGTACTCTCTTTTAAACCTGGAAGCTTTAACTTGTATAAAACTATAAATCATTATGGTTCAGTATGGAGAATAATTATCGAAATTGTGTTTTATTTTAATTAGCCTTTCTTTTCTTGTTTCTTCATTGATATTCTTGATTTCCCTTAGAAATTCTGCCATGATGGGATAATAGATAGACTTCAGCATGCCAAGACTGATTTAAAGAGAAAAATGAACATTTGTCATCATTAACTCGGTCTTTACTTGTTTAACTTAAACTAATTTCAGTTTCTTCCTTTATTTTTTTTTACACAAAGCATAATATTTTAAAGAACCATTGACTTCCATACTATTTGTTTATCCTACTTTAAGAAAATCATTAAAAGAATTAAAACCACACAAGGTTGTGTAAATGTTGAGTTATGTATATAATTTTTGGGTGAACTATCACTTTAAATTTGTAAACGCACAGATAATTTTTTTAAAAACAATTACTAAAATCAAATTCATTAAATCCACCTGCCCATACCATAAAGAAAAATACAGGTAAAGGTTTTGCACCCACACACACCTAATATTAATAATGATAATACGAAAACACATCTATATTAACAATAATGATCATTTTGAAAAGAAAACTAGTAAGTGCTACAGTGTTTGTCCTGATGTGTGCTATAATTCTAGATAGGCTACCTGACGACTCATTGAATCCATTAAAAATATAATAAAAAAATATATATATATAAAAATATAATAACCATAAATTCTATCATCAATAAACTTTATAGTTTATTAGAAAATTAAGTTATTACATTGTTCTGATATTGCTAAATTGGGTGATTTGTGCAAATGCATAATGTCGGAGACTCATGTGTCTGTAGAGGACATCAAAAGTAATGAGATATAGCTTTTTGAAAACTGCTAAACAGTATTTTAAAACTGGACTTTTTTGTTTTGTTATTAATTAATTCATTCTTCTTGTCGGCTTAGTCCCTTTATTAATGTGGGGTCACCACAGCGGAATGAACCACCAACTTATCCAGCAAGTTTTTTACGCAGCGGATGCTCTTCCAGCCACAACCCATCTCTGGGAAACATCCACACACATATTCACACACACACTCATACACTACGGACAATTTAGCCTACCCAATTCACCTGTACCGCATGTCTTTGGACTGTGGGGGAAACCGGCGCACCCGGAGGAAACCCACGCAAAGGCAGGGAGAACATGCAAACTCCACACTGAAACGCCAACTGAGCCGAGGTTCGAACCAGCGAACCAGAGACCTTCTTGCTGTGAGGCGACAGCACTACCTACTGCGCCACTCCTTCGACCGTTATTGATTCTAAGGGTTTGAAATTATACAAATGTAGAATAATTAGCTAGGTCAGGATATAATATAATTCAGTAGTGTAAATGGGAAAAAATAAACTATAATACAAATAAAATCTAAGTTTAAAATGTAATTTTATCACTAATATAGACATACTGTATCTACCAAAACCTGACCTGCACAGTAAGAGTAGATAAGATACAGCTGTGTATATGTATATCATCATTTTTTGTGACACTGTATACCAATAATTAACATGTTTACAGTACTGTGACGGTTGGATTTAGGGTTAGGGTGGGGTTCATTTATTTTCATGAGCTAAATGGTTCATTTAATCCCTTTATTTATCGGGGGTCGCCACAGTGGACAGAACCACCAACTTATTCAGCAAATAAGCAATTCCAGCGTTATGGATGTGACATTTGCAGTAAAATCTTAGAAACAATGCTCATCAAAAGGATAAGAGTTGGCTCATTATAAAACAAAAATGATTGATTTAATTTAATTTGACATTTTTCCATTTACTAGGCAAAATCTTCGTTATTGATGTGACAGATGTGGAATTGCCACTCATGTGATTTTGGTAAGTCAAATATAATAGTTTGAAAACATAAATGGAGACATTTTTGAGTATTTTAAAGCACAAAAACCCAGAAACAGTTTTGCTATTTTGTCGAAACCTTTTTTTATTCATGGCAAGGTTGACATTTGCATGCAATAGCTCCTATGTTTTACACAGCGGATGCCCTTCCAGCTGCAACCCAATACTGGAAAACATCCATACACTCATTTATACTCATTTTCTCCACACAGAAAGGCCAACTGCCAAAGCTGGGGCTTGAACCAGTGACATTCTTGCTGTGAGGCGACAGTGCTAACCACTGTGAAAAAAACACTGTCGCCCTAATAAAATATGGGAAATGTAATTTTCGTTGTCTGCCAGCCATAACCGTATCTGATCTAGCTACAACCTGACCACACCGCACAGAAAGAGCCAACCTATCCTGGAACATATGGCCGGCTTGGCGACCAATGAGAGGTAAGTAAATTGCTCCGACGGAAACACGACAAACCTTAAATGATCCAATGAATGTTCCCCAAACACAGATTGACACGACTATCGACCAATCGGATATTTCTAAATTGACGTCAAAGCTCCTTTGTCGATCTCAGCGGACGCCATCTTATCCAGCGGGTGACAGAAGAAGGTTGCGTGGTCGGAGACACGCGTTCGTATCAATTGATTTATCAACAAAAGAAACGGATACATTCTGTGCGGATATCGAACCACGAAGAAGCCCCTGACGCCCAGAAATGGCAACGGGAGCTAACGCAACCCCGCTTGGTAAGCTGCACCCGAGCATCGGCGCTAAGCGAGGCTTTGACTCTGGCCCCGGTCCGGGGTTAATGCCTCCGCCTGGGCCTTCGGTGCCTTTCCCGCTGCAGAACTTCCAACCGCCACAATTATCAAACCCTGGGTTCCCGCAGTTTCCCGGAGCCGTGAGCTCTGCGCTCTCAAACCCTATCGTAGTAGGACAGCAGTCTCAAGCGGGAGGCGGAGGTAAACACCGTGGACAGGCCTTGACTCCTTCAGGATCAACGGCCTCCATTTATAAAAGTAGAATGGCTGGTTACCGTCATTAATAGTCTTACTTGTTTTTACAATGCCATTGCATATTAAAAATCTTTGGAATGTGTAATTATTTAACATGTTCATTTGGGGGATCAAAACTTAATCTAACGTTACACGTTAAAGTATTGTGTTGTATTTAACACTGAACTCTGAAATGAAATATGATGCAGAAAAATCTATTGTTTTGAAATCGAGCAGTGTTAACATTAGACAATAAAGTGAATACTGTTTTTGTAATATAGATTTTTTTTCAGTTTAGTGCATAATATGGTATAAAAAGGATTGGGAGCTTTTACACAGCAAATGTACATGCCCAGACTGAACAAAGATGTTTATTACATTGCAGTGTTTATATGGCTAACGATGTTAAGTTAATATAACGTGGCATAAAGCAGCAAACTGCTTGCTTAAACTGCTAAAAACCTTAGAATGCTGTCTTAAATATTCCTTAAATTATTAGTATGTTTCGTAATATCACTTTTATGGCAAAGAATAAGTCCTTTTCCAGGTCTTTAAAGTAAAATATTTCAACATAAGCAAGAGAGGCAAAGGTGAAAAATTGATGGAAATTTCAGACGACACTTAAGAGGTTTTTGCATCTGAACTCTTCATATTTATAATTTCTTTTTAATTAAAGAAAAAATCCTATGTTTACTTTTTAACAGTGTAATAATTCAATAAATTAAACATTTTGCATCATAAAGACATGGTGAACGTTTCTGTGAAAGTTTTGGTCTTAATTTACAGGCTTTAGACATCCACAAATCAGACATAATGGCTTAATTTTTTTACATCCCCTGTCAGATTTTGGACAGAAGAAACGGAAAAGAAGTCGCTGGAGCAGCGAGACCCCTGATCAGAAGACTGTTATCCCGGGCATGCCCACCGTGATCCCTCCTGGGCTGACTCGGGACCAAGAACGAGCTTATATAGGTGAATATCTAAAATTTGCTATTACAACATCTGTCAGAGTCATAGAGTTTAGGTTGCAAAACATTTTGTATGTGAACGGGGGAATATTCTGTCTACACCCAAACAAGTCACTTTTTTTTTGTCCCAAAACTTGTTTATAATTTTTTTTTTCTCACAGTTTGCACATCACATGAAGGATGTAACTGCTTAATTTCATTAGTCTGACTTCTTTGCTGATACAACTGATGTCAAATTAGTGAAAGAACCTTTATGTTAAAGCAACAGTTCAAAACGGTCATCTCTATACGTCTCAAATGACTTTATAGAAATGGTCTTCTCAAAGAAGTCAATCCATCGAAATTCAGCACTTTGCCCTGTATTTACTAGAATGCACTAACTCCATCAATGTGCAATGTGAGTGCTATTTATTTATTTTTGTTCGTTTAGGACACACTGAGGTATTGGTAGCACTGTCAATGTTTGCATATACCATCTGATGTCCATTAGCAAGAACCCACTGTGTTTTCTGATGTTGCTGCTTGCTGTGAACTGTCTCCAGCTGCAGAACTCCATCACTGCTCATGTTTACTATGCAAAAAATGTCTCGTCCAATTCGACTGCGAAAGCAATGCAGGTCCGATACTGAATTGCTAAAGTCATCTCCATCCCCTTGTGTCTGAAAGCAGTGTGTAGTAAATTGCTTTCTCATTGCTGTCAGGCACTTGTTTTGCAGTAGCATGTGGTGTAGTGTTTGTTTCGACTATAATGTGACCTAGACCTACATCTCTTTAACTACTCCTCCTTTTGATAACTGACACCTCATGTCTCTTACCCACCATCAGCCTGCACCATTCAATGTGGGGTCCGATTCTCTTAAGCATGTCATAGAGAAATGCATGTGAAAGCCCATGAAATGCTTCCATGAGTGATGCAGTAATTTGGTTGGTTACAGGTCAGTCTTTGGGTTTGTACAGGCTGATTTGGTTGGCGTGGCTTGAGGCCTTAGTAAAATAAATTGCATGATAAAACGACCTGCTAAAGGCTGATCTGTTTGTCTTAGAACTTATTTATAAATATTGGATTTTACTTAATTGAGTAGTGTTTGGAACTACTGGTAAGTTGCTGACGTGTCAATAACTTGAGTGTTGAATGTAATTGTTAATGTATTGGCTTTTCACACCCAGTGTTAATGACTATTTTTTTAACATAGTAATTTCATTTCATTACGCTGGTGTTATTCTATAACTTTTTATATGAGGATGCATTTGCTCAAGCCATTTAGCCAATATGTTTTTTGATTTCTTCAAACACAACTTTTTTTCCCCCCTCGACAGGCCTTCATGTTTTTGCCACCTTTTTAGCTCATGTGAACTAATGTTTTTAAGGATATGCATAATGTGAATTTTACTTCTCAGAGTTGGTGGCATAAAATGGAAAGCCTGTTGCTATGATCTTTTTCTGAAATGGTTATTTGCTGAAATCCCTTCAGGTTTCTGAAATTAAAATTGGCTGAACATTTGAAACTTGAATTTCTGATTATTTGGGGAATGGGCTCATGAGAATACACTCAAGCTTAAACCGAAGTATGCTTTGCAGAATTCCTGTCGGGCTTTCAGTGTTTCAGAAAAAATACTACAGAGGATCAAATGTCTTTACTTGACCTTGATTCTTAGTAAACTGTCAATTTACCATGGTAATTTTTTGTTTGTTGCTTAACCCTAGTCACATTGAGTTTTACAGTGTACTGATTCTGGTTTTGTGGGGTCTTTTTGTTGTTAACCACATTTTTCTCCATCCTTGTTTTTTTTTCTTTCCTAACCTGATTTCTTCCAGTCCAACTGCAGATTGAAGACCTGACACGTAAACTGCGTACAGGAGACCTGGGAATCCCTGTTAACCCTGAGGACAGGTCGGAATAACGATTTAAACCCACCAACAGTAACATTTTCTTTACCTTTTCAATGCGCCAATTTAAGTGAGCCCAGTTCGTAAGTGTACTAGTGTCTATGTAGGGGTAAGTAATTAAGTGACAGAAATAAGTTTAAATGCCTTGCTTTTAACTGACATCATATCTTTGCCTCTTAATTGAAGAGTTTAGAAAGTTCTTTTATTGTAATTAAATAGATTGTATTACAAACCTAAACTTTTCAGTGTTTTAAACACTTTTTGTATTTTTAAAGGGTCACGAAATGCCAAAACACATTTTTTGAGATCTTGATAGTTATATAGGTGTCTCGCGTTGCTAAAAACGCTATTAGGACACATTAATTTAGCTAAAAAGTGAAAATTGGTTGTTTTTGCATTGTTTAGAGCAAATTCATTCTCCTGGGTTGAAAGGAGAAATTTTGTAGCAACGTCACAGCGATGAGATCATTATGTAAATTCCAGCGTGGAGATTGGCTGTCTGTACCAGTTGGTACAAAGTGACACAATTGAGTTTTTATTCAGCGTGCTCTAATATAAACAAGATGCAACTTCATTAATATGCATGATATAGCTTCGAAGCCCCCTTTTACCTGTTACAATGTTTAGAGAGATACCATGTTGTGTTGCCAATGATAATTCAAACAAGTAGAAGAATTGTTATGAGACATGAGTTGTAAGTGTTGCATTTATAAATGTGCCGCAACAGGTTTTGTTTCCATTTCCCTGTGATGAGAGCACAGCTCGCATGTGGACCCACATGTGTGGATTACAGTGGTTTGCTAACATGCGACAATGTTTGTAAGGGACTTTTTTTTTTCTTCTTTTTTTTTAAACGAGAGCTTTTCGAAAATGATGAATTGACGAATCTAGATTTGCCACTCATCTTTTAAAAAAAAAAAAAGAAAAAAAGACCTGGTTCCAGTTTTGATGTTTACAGGTTTAGTAAGTGTGCAGTCAATGTTCTTTGTTTGTTTATTCAGATGGCAAAGTTAGTTAGTATCATCAGCAGTACTCTTATTTTTTTGAAGACATACCTTAGTCAAAATGTTTTAGTTACGAAGTTACTACAATATTAAGGACTAAAAGATCTGCTGTAAAATGCTGCTCCGAATGCAAACACCTTAATCAAACTATTACTGTTGTGTAGTATTTTTTCATGGCCCTTTAAAAAACATCTGATCTGTTTTGTATGTGGAGGCAAAGATTAGAATAAAGGCTATTATTGTAGGTCATTGTCATACAAAAAAATCTGACTTTTATTGGCTAGCCAGTGTTACATGCTTTTGAAATTAAGTTGTCTTGCAGAACATATCTTAACAGAGTGATGATTAACTCGACCCATCAAAACGTGTAGGCATAAAACCAACAATTCTTTTGATTGTCCAAAGTAAATCTTGTTTACTTTTATTCTGAACTGTTTTTGTAGATATTTAATTGCATGCTTTTTCATGTGCTATGATACTTGTGTATTATTAGAAATGCTGCAGTAGTTTTATTGATTCTCCCAGTGTAGTTGCTGTAGTTGAAGATAGTAGGTTCGGTCATTATTTAAGTTTTTGAAAGTATTAATTTTTTATTAGATTATATATTACATTACTGCCCTTTTTTTCTAACCTCCGAAATCCAGTCTTAAACACATTAAAGTCCTTAAATTAAAAAATCTGAATGGTTGGTGAAATGGATGGTCAATAATGGTTTTCCATAATGGGGCTACCACCATTTTGTCCAGGAACTTCCACAGTATTCCAGATTTCCGCACTGGAAGACCGCTCGGAGGAGTCTCCTCTGAACTTTTCTTTCTGGAATAACCTTAACCTTAACACTTTGATCACTTTGGCCGCTCATAGACTTCATAAGCATCCAACATAGCAGGAATGTCATGTTTCTGACGTAAGAGTGTCTTTTTAGTAGCCACATCCCTTGCTCTCTGAACAGCCTTAGGTTCTCCGGCAGAATCTTAATCCGACGTTTTTACACCGCCAACTCTTCTTAAAGGTCTATCCACTCCAGGATTTAGGAACGATTGCTCATCAACTTCCAGCTCGCCAAAAACAAAGCTGGAGGTGCTTCAAGTTGTCAGCGCTGGAGATATCAGCCCAAAAGAAAACCAGCAGAGCATTCTTTTCTCTCTCCCCCCAACCCTCTTTTCTCCTCTTCGGGTTACCTCTCATGAACTTGTCACGTTTGTGTGGCTGTACTGTTTGAGAGCTGTTGAAGGTTAATATTTAATCCAAATTTATTTCTCTAACCCAAATTCCCAGTCTCGTAACTTTTTTCAAACACAGAGCCTCATTGTGCAGGTTAACAGGTTTTCAGCACCGTCCAAGGGAAAGGTAACATTTGGGATGCTCTTTGAGAGCATGTGATGAGTTAGATCAGCGTTCAAGAACAGGCGCTCAAGTGTGTTGGTTGCCCCGTTTGTCTCAGATTTTGTCCTGTTGTTCATCCTGCAGAAAAATTGAGACAAACCCATTTTAGTTATGCTAAATATAACTTGAGACCCAAATTTTGCAACCGTTTTTTTAATAGAAGCTGCTGACTTCTCTGACTTTTTAATCTGAACTTTTTTCCCTTCCTAATGGTTCAATATAGTTTTCTAGGGTGCGTTATTTTTTTTGTTCGTCTCGTTTTTGTCACTAGAACGTGAGCACTCTGGGGCATCCCATGCACTTTTTAAATGACCTCCAAATTAGTCAAACACATCTCAGTCAGAATAGGCAAGTCATTGAATGTTTAGCTGTTGATAACCATTACAGGTTTTGCATTTTGACGCCGTTGCATCTTTCTGTTCTTTCCTTTCCTCAGGTCTCCATCTCCTGAGCCCATTTACAACAGCGAGGGAAAGCGGCTTAACACACGTGAATATCGCACGCGCAAGAAACTGGAAGAAGAGAGACATTCTCTCATTACAGAGATGGTGGGACTGAACCCTGAATTCAAACCTCCAGCTGACTACAAGTATGGCTACTAGAAGTCTTTTTTTTGTGTGTGTAAACCTCTTTAGCTCTGTCGTGTCAGGTAGTTTAATTGTTTTTCTTATTTCTCAGACCACCGGCAACACGGGTCAGTGATAAGGTGATGATTCCTCAGGATGAATATCCAGAGATCAACTTTGTTGGGCTTTTAATTGGGCCACGGTGAGTAGTGTGTCTTTGAGCTAGAGACTCCCAAGTTAAAATACTGATAGCGCAACGTAAGTAAAAAAAAATATATATATTTTTTTTAGTGGAAACACTCTGAAAAACATTGAGAAGGAGTGCTGTGCTAAGATCATGATTCGTGGTAAAGGCTCAGTAAAGGAAGGAAAGGTGGGTCGTAAAGATGGACAGATGCTTCCAGGAGAAGATGAACCTCTTCATGCTCTGGTCACTGCTAACACTATGGAGAATGTGAAGAAAGCTGTAGAGCAGGTGAGATCCCTTGAACAGGTGTTTAGTGATGTTGCTAGAAATGAAAGAAAAATTGTTCAATGTTAAGTGCTTGCGTTCTGTCCACAGATTCGTAATATCCTCAAGCAGGGCATTGAGACCCCCGAGGACCAGAATGATCTGAGAAAAATGCAGTTGAGAGAGCTGGCACGGCTAAACGGCACTCTGAGAGAGGATGATAACAGGTGAGAGACTCACAAAGATGCGTTGATCGCACGTTTAGGGCAGTAGCTGAGTAAATCTCGTTGATTCCCGTGTGCTCATGATTTTTTTTCTTAGGATCTTGCGGCCGTGGCAGAGCACAGAGCCTCGCAGCATCACAAACACAACACTCTGTACAAAGTGTGGTGGAGCAGGTCACATCTCTTCAGACTGCAAGTTTACCAGGTACCACAGAGCAATGTTTTTCCTCCATCAAAGAGGTGCATCACCATCTGGCCATGTCGAGTAAGCATCAGGCTAGAAAAATAATTGTATTTCTCTTCTCTCCAGTTCCTTTGCTCCACGGCCAGGTGAACCACCCCAGTCTGCCCAGGATAAAGCTCGTATGGATAAAGAGTACTTGTCTCTTATGGCAGAATTAGGAGAGGCTCCAGTCCCTTCTTCTGGTGGAGGCCATAACAATGCTCCGCCTAGTGGACCTCGTCCTTCAGGACCCAACAACAACCAGCCACCACCAGTAAGCCCAAACAGTCTTTCTGTTCTCCCTTATAGGGTGCCTATTTCTTCTTGCTTTTATCAGGGTCCCCATGTTTCTTGAAAGTACTTGAGTTTAAGGCCTAGAAAGCATTTAAAGACAAACTTATGTCCTTGAAAGAATTGAATTTAAGGTTTATAGGGTTCTTCTGTGCTGCTTTCAAAAACTGAGCAAAAATATTGTTCATTCTTAATAAAAAAAAAATAATAATAATAAAAGCCTTTTGTCAGTACTCCAGAATCTGCATTTGGAGGTTACAATTAGTTGAATTCAATGCTGCTGTTAAAGTTCTTTAAACATGACTTTAAAGTGGTCAACATTTTTGAAAACGATATTCAAATCCTCATTATGACATTTTTATGTAAATATTAAGTGCAGATGAAATGTTAAGTATAGCTAGGACTTTCATTGCGCTATATATGCTTGGGGTGTAAATTACGAAGGTGTTAGTGATTTAAAAGTCTTTGGATTTGGTTTCCATGAAAGACTGTTTTATAAATGTAAAGTTAAAATGGACAGCCTTTATTTTAAATAACTTTTGCTAACAATGTAAAGATCCCTAATAATATTGTTGCTATTTAGTTCACCCTTGCTGAAAGTGTTTAATAATATCCATAATAAAGAAAGATCCATAAAATATGGATCTAGTATCCATGACTGTTTCTGAAGAGTATATTTAAAGGTCAAAGTAGGTGGGGCTAGTTGTCGCCATCTTAGTAGCACATCACCATGCATCACTCACAGATAATGTCAGTTGAACAGAAGCCAGACATGGGGGCAGCTAGAGATACCTGACCGGGTTTTTTTTTTTTTTTTTTTTTTTTTTTTTGGTTGGCGTATCACGTTCATATTCTGAACACACATGCTTAGTTGTAAACTTTATAAATGCCTTACAAATATATTTAAATAATAACAAATATTTCCAATATAGACTGTTATTATGCTAGGCTGTTTATGAATGCAGGTGTAAAATTATATAATGTTTCAGATGACTTTTATAACGCCAATAGCTAATCAGTTTGTCGGATTCTGGTGTGTAGTAAAGTTTTAACTTCTAATATCAAATAAAAGAAAGTTATAATATAAAATATCACACAAAACGGGACAATGAATGTACGGGTTGGGTGTCTTAACATGGGTAGTCTATGGGATTAAATCTCTTAGATATGGCCTCTAGTGAACAGGCAATGAATTGCCCTTTCAGTTACTGTCTTGTTCGTTTCAATGGTATGTTGCTGATTAACAATAACCTAATTTTTGTCTTTTTAATAACTTTTCAGAATCGCCCTCCTTGGATGAACTCCGGCCCTACTGATAATAGGAACTTCCACGGCATGCACCAGGGTCCTGGTGGCCCTCATAACTTCCCTCCACCAATGCCAAACATGGGTGGCCCTCCTATGCCACCAAATCCCAATGGAATGCCTCCGCCCTGGATGCAGCCACCCCCTCCTCCAATGGGCCAGGGCCCAGCACCACCTGGACACCCCATGGGTGAGTATTAGCAGAGATGAGGTAATACATTTTCCTCTATGGATGAAATCATGCAACTGAATCCTAGTCAGATGGGTGATGTTTCTGCTTATTTTAAATTTCCACACACAACTCCAGACTGGCATCTTTGTTTGGGCATATTATAGTATTTATTCAATTGTTCTTGAATTCTCTTTGGAAAATGTATTACTCAAGTAGCAAACAGTTATAGGTGGGGTGTGTTCATCACACTTTTTTAAAATAAGCATTTAGCTTTTTTATTTACACAACAATGGCCTGAAAACACTAGAAATCAGCTTCAAAATTGCATTGCCTTGATGTGATCTGCATAATTGTATTTGGAATATTTTTTGTGTGAAGTTTGCATTGTTTTTCCAACTTGCTGGCTGATTATGCACAATACAGCAAATAGGTTGTCACTTTTCCACATGAACTGAGATTTGAACAGCATTGTTATCATCTACCATTACAAACCCTAATGAAAAACATGCATTTGTTGTCGTGAAAAATGCACCTTTTGAGTTTTTATCCTGCAGCAAATTGAAATTGAAATGAAAGCCTTATATTGGTTAATGGATTCCTCTCCTGTACTATTTTAACTTATTACTCCCCATGGAAATAGCTTAGAAAGCTTGCATGGCGTTAAAACACCAACCGACTAAGTTAGTGCTCCCGAACGCTCAAAATCTTTCCTTCACTTGTCTGGTGATCAGGCTTATTGCCACCACCCATGGGTATGATGCCCCCGCCACCACCACCTCCTAACAACCAACCACCTCCTCCGCCCTCAGGACCTCTTCCGCCATGGCAACAGCAGGCTCCTCCCCCTCCACCCACCAGCAGCATGGCAACCAGTGCTCCAATGCCATGGCAACAAAGTAAGTATATAACAGAGGTACTTATTAGGCATTGAAGGCTAATAAATAATCTTTTGGGATTGAAATGACTTAAATTTGCTGTTCCCCCAGACACGACCACCACTTCCACCCCTGCCACTGGAAACCTGCCCCCCTGGCAACAGCCTCAGCAGACGGCCGCATCAGCATCTCAGCCTCCTCCACCCATGGGCAACCCATCCATGGTGCCACCTCCACCTGGTGTCCAACCTCCGCTTCCTCCTGGTGCCCCGCCTCCTCCACCGCCCCCTCCACCTGGCTCAGCTGGCATGATGTATGCACCACCGCCTCCACCTCCACCCATGGACCCTAACTTTGTGACCATGATGGGCATTCCTGGTATGCCACCCTACGGGATGCCACCTGCACCTCCACCACCTCCGCCTCAGAGTTAAAGGCTTGCTTTAGTCTCTGTGGCCCTGTGAAGGTGCAGTAAAGATATACACTCATACATCACAGGACTGTACCTGGTTCTGTTCATTTAACAGCTTGATGTGATTAGTTGCTAAAGATTTATTTTTCTTTCGAATGGCTTCAGTTCAGACCTGTTTCCCATGCTTGGACAAAATAAATCAAATTAGCGAGAGTGTAAGTGAGACAATGTGGTTCATTTTGTAAATTTGCTTCAATTGTTCATGATTTTTAACTGTAGTATTTGATCTCTTCGTAGGATGTTTGTTCAAAAGAAGTTGATGTGCAGGGAATGTTTGTTTTTGTTTGTTTTGTTTTTGCCAGCTTGCTTTTCTCCATGTTTTTTTTTAAAGTCTCCAGCGAGTGAAAATGACATCTGCTAAAGTTTCAGCTAGCAACATTCCGACAGGTGTATAAACCACCGTTTACACTCTTAACCAACTGTGCATTTGTTGCTGCATAGTGTAAAAGGGCATCAATGATGTCTTCGAGATGTTGTAGATGATTGGCTTTCTCTATTTAGGTGGTCTGTATTTTATTTTATTTTTTGTGTTCAACTTGTTCCCCCACCCCTTTCAAAATTGTTTTTATTTAAAAGAACTTTCATTAATTGCCTTCCACCAAATGTATTTCAATATTTTTGTAATGAAGCATTCAACTAAATAAAAGTTGGCATGGTGTTGAGTTGGTGCTGTCATCTGTCATCATTACTGTCCCAATTGGCATTCTAGAAACTGTGACCTTTGAGTATGTGCCATGTTTTTCATTTAGTTTACATTTCAAAGCTCAAAACAGGAAATTGTCATTTACTACCTTTACTCATTACAAACCTTTTTTGTTGAAAACAAGATATTTTGGAAAAAGCTGGAAACCTGTAACCATTGACTTTTATAGTGTTCATTTTTCCTACTATTGAAGTCAGTGGTTACATTTTCAGCTGTCTTAAGCATATCTTTTGTGTGTTGTGAGTAAATGGTATACATATAAACAAAACATGTATATTTATCAAAACTATTTTAATCGCTGAAATATGCATTTAAATTACAAGCTTCTGCATTTTTAAACTTATCATAGTCTCTTTTTGCTTGCTCTTTTACATCATTGCTGTTATGAATGCATCACAACCTAAACAGTCAAGTTACTGTCGAACTCAAAGTATTTTCCACTCCTCCTTTTCGTATACACAGCATCTCCGTTTTCTTACACTGAGCTATTACAGCAAGTTACAATATCCCATTTTAAACTTAGTCAAATTGCAGAAGTCTTACCTAGGTGTAGTTTTCAGAACGTTTTCCTCTCCTGTGCTCCACTGCAAGCTGATTTAATTAGGATCCGTAGCCCTTCTGTACTCTTCAGCGAGCCTATTTAAACCGAACCAGCATTAAGTTGCTCCTCATAGAGCTTATGTGATCTAGATCCAGCCTAGTTGTAGCTCCATATTCTTCCCTGTCCTGTGCTCCTCTGAGAGCTTATATCATCAGAACCAGCATAGTGTACCAGTAGTGACCTGCTCCTTATTTTATTTTTTAACTGTTTTATCATGCATGATCCCAAGTGTCTCCTCACTAATCTTAATGCAGGATTATGGAACTGTTCTATATTGCCAATTTTCTGACAACAAGACATATTTTACCTTGAAATCAAGCCTAACTGTATCATTTGATAACAAATGCAACAGAAAATACTTCCTCAATACATAAATACTAATAAATACTCTTCACACTCACTGGCCACTTTAAAAGGTACACCTGCCCAACTGCTCGTTAACACACATTTCTAATCAGTCAATCTCATGGCTGCAACTCAATGCATTTAGGCATGTAGACATGGTCATGACGATCTGCTGCAGTTCAAACAGCATCTAAATGGGGAAGAAAGGTGGTTTAAGTGACTTTGAACGTGGCAAGGTTGTTGGTGTCAGATGGGCCAGTCTGAGGCAAATGCCTTGTTAATGCCAGAGATCAGAGGAGAATGTTAATTTATGCTAAGTTAATTATTTTATGTTCAATCAACTAAAAACCACTAAGCTAACCTAATCGATTTGCGATGGAAGGACATGAAGGGACAGTGTGTGTACAACTCAGCATTTTTTACAGTGTGTCTATGTGTTGTGATATGTATTTTTCTGTAACTTTGTCCTACGCTTCCAGTCTTGACCAGGACTCCCTGGGATCGAGATATTGTATCTCAATGGTACTTTCCTGGTTAATTAAGCAAAGAATTAAATAAAAATGAATTAAAAGTTTGTTTGGTAGAATCTTATTGATCACATAATCAACTCTTTGTCAGCAATCAGTATTCCTGCAACTGGCACATTTCAACCATTCAACTGATAGAAAGCTACAGTTGAGGATGTTTATATCTAGAAGCATATTCATTTATAACATTAACTTTGGGTTTCTTTAAAAGTAACCCATCTTCTGATAACATGCAATGTGGACCAAAATCTCTGGAGGCAAAAGTGGGTCCAACCCGGTATTAGTTAGGCATACCTAATAAAGTGGCCTGTGAGTGTTTACTCCAAGGGCAATATGTAAAGACAACAGCACTGGGTCTAAAATGGACTTCAAAAATTTGATTGTAACCGTTTTAAAAATCTACGTTTTAAAAAATAAGACCTTGCAGCTTAGAGATTAACCAAAGATACAGTACTTGAACCAACATTGACAAAAAACATGCTGGCACACTGTCAAGGGGGAATTGGCAGGATATAGCTGTTTAATTGTATCAACAAGATGTGAGAATGCAGCTGATTTGAACTGCTGAAGCTAGCTGGGAAAAAAAGGGTTACTAATATAGATAATAGTAGAAAAAATGTCAAATGGGCAGGGCTTTGTTTGACATAATTTGCTGTTTTAAATATCAGATAAATAATTTGTAACTGTAATTTGATTAATCAATTTCTCCTGCTTCTGTTAAAAGCAGGTGTTTACTAGAAAATGATTTAACAGGTTTAAATCCTGCACCAATTCAATTCATCTTTATTTCTATAGCACTTTCACAATGTAGATTGTCTCAAAGCAGCTTAACATAGAAATTGAAACTGTCAGTCCAGTTTTTAGAGTTTAAGTGTAGTTTAATTCAGTGTGGTTCAATTTTCACTGCTTAAAGTCCAAACACTGAAGAGCAAATCCATTGATGTAAATTGTAGTATAGATTTGTTAGTGCCAGAACCTTTAGATCTAACATTTTAACACAATAACAGTTCCCCTCAGACTTCCACATCTCCCTCTTAATCTGCAAGATGAAGTATTTAATGAAAGACAAACCAAACTCTAAATTAAAATGCTGATAAAATTAAAAAAAAAAAAGCTAAAGATGGAACTGACATCATGCATTTCATTTTGAAGACTTTTAACTTATCGATGAGACTGACAACATATAGTGACTGGAACTTCTAGAATTTCAAAACTATTTGTGCTAACTTAATTTACTGTAGTATCCTATCACTGAAAATCAGCTTTTATAGTAAATTAAAACAGAAAAACTGACAACCAGTATGTTTGTTCTTCGAAAATGGGTTGCACATGGATGCTCTTCGAGTGAAAAAAATAACATCTACTGAACTTACTAAGTAATTATAATGGGACCTATTGTGATAATAAAAATCTGGACAGACAGTGTTTCATGATTGGGCAAATCCTCCAAACCCACGGCTTTGTGTCACTAGGCTATTGTGACTCTTAGACAATTGGTCTAAATGCATTATGGCCCGCCCAGCCTGTAAATATATAGTAGCCTTCTCGTGTATTGACTAATATAGAGAGAGCAGTGCGCGCCGCCAATGAGCGCGCTTGACCCTGAAGCATCAGTTGGAGATCACGGTGACGAGCAACACACGCAGCAGGCATCACGTAGACGAAGATCCCCGCTGCACGAACATAACACAAGATTATATAATTACAATCTTGCAAGATGTCCAAGCCACTGACGGACCAAGAGAAGAGGAAGCAAATTTCCGTGCGGGGTCTCGCCGGAGTTGAAAACGTCGCAGACCTTAAGACCAATTTTAATCGCCATCTGCACTTCACTTTGGTTAAGGACCGCAATGTTGCAACGAAGCGCGACTATTACTTCGCCCTGGCGCACACCGTCCGCGACCATTTGGTGGGAAGATGGATCCGGACCCAGCAGCATTACTACGAAAAAGACCCGAAAGTAAGCTATTGAAATGCCGCAGTTTCATCCTGGGGGTCCGGGACCGCACGTACACCACTGACAGCAGGAGGAGGAGTCCGAAAACACGACTCACATAATGTTGCGCAGTACAACCGCAGAGTAACATCTTTATATCGCTTTGCACTTGTGATATTATGTTATATTGGTATTTTGCCAGGAAATACCGCTTGATACTTGTGGTTCGGAAGACTGCAAGCATTTTCAGCAATTACATAATATGTCAATAAGTGATGTCAGGAGCTCCTTCATTCAAGGTCCTGCAGACCGAATGTATGAAGAGAGCTTTGCCGTGCCCTTGACAGGCATCAACAGGTCAAACTATCGTTTTAAACGGAGTTATTTAAGGAATATCAATCGTAATTTTGCGTATGCTAGCTAAAACAAGCTATTTTCTGTAACGTTAGGCAAATGTCTACGTCGAAACATCTTTTAAAGTCCAACTCTGTGCCGCTAAATATGTGTACATTACAGGCGAAAGGTTTGTTATTGATAATACATAATTTCAGATTTTGCTGCGCTTTTAATTGAATTTTTGAAATAACGTTCACAAATTCAGATTATCGTTTTATTATTCCCTGTTGATTGCATTGACAGTGTTATGGTCATCATCATAATTTATGCATACATACCTGATTATAATTGGTTGAGCTCACTTGTATACGGATCTGTGATTGGTTCTTTTTGTCTAACGTTGTTCAGTATGCAGACCGTTCCTGAAATCTGAACGAAGGTCTTTGGTTTTCACAAAACTGATGCTCATTTACATTCATGATGTGTAGACACGAATGGGATCCAACTGGGGCCGGAGGACTCCCAACGGGGCAACAAGATAGTTTTGTTGCTTCATAGAAATGTTTGGAGAACATATTTTTTAAAAAAAAGTGTATACAATTTTAAAGATACATATAAATCTAACATAATTTATAAAACTATTTTTACAAAATCACACATTAAATTATGATACATTTATTGATTTTGAGATATAACAATTATTTAAAAATTTAAAATAATGGATACATGACTGTTTTTTATTCAAATAAATAAATAATATAAAATTTGTTAAAAATATAAAATATGTATATATTTTAAAGCAAACTTATAAATATCTATTAAAAGGGGGGGGAAATTAAGGACTTGTAAATAGATTAATAAATACAGTACTAGGGTTGTCGATACCATTAATTAATCTTACGATACTATAACAGGCAGCTAAAGTATCACGATACCAAGTAGTATTGCGATACTGTAATTCATAACTCTAACTATAAAGAAAATTGTCACAAATACTATATTTTATGTTATAACAGGCCTACTTGAATGTAATTCTTAATCCCCTTAAGGCTAAAAAGTATTATTTGCACCCAACTTCACCTAAAATGTATTCATTCTTTTAATTTTGTAGATAACTAACCAACAAATAATACATTAAAATAAAGATACAAATTATATAGAATTAAATTTATTTACAAAACGGCATTTTCCCAACAAAATTAGGCTACATGAAGTCGTCAAAAATTGATTCAATGTTTCCTGGTGCTATTTTGGGTTTTTCATCTGTTGTTGTTGTTGTGGTTGTTGTTGTTTTTTTTTGTCTTCTCAGGTAAGAATTCAAAGTAATTCAAAATATCACTTTGTGAGTAGTTCTTCTTAAGAGATTGTCGTGGACGCTACTAAATCATATTGACGGGAACAGAAATGAGCTGATTCAGATGTGCGTTTAACAGAAGCGTTAAAAACGTGCAATAGGCTACCATAAAACGCGTCAATTTTACTCAGTTTTGCAACCTTAAAGGTCTCCACAGACTATTCAAACAAAATGGTCTATTGTTGCACAAACATGTGAGCATTTTAGCGACTTTTCACATGACACATTATCTATTGTAGATAAACCGTTATTGACGATGTACTACCGTTTACACAACAGTATTTTAGAGCCATAGTACAGTAAGTTTTCAATAATATTTTAGGTATGTTTATAAGATACTTTTTCCACAGCATATATAGGGTCTTTATTCAAGCAACAACAGATGCATTTTACATTTTAAGTAGGGGGAGTGGCATCTAAAAGACTGAAACCCTCCCTGTAAAACAATCCTTACAACCTTCTAGCAATTTGCATAATAATACCTAATGTTAATCACAGATATTCTCCTAAACAAAGCTTCAACACATTCCAAAGGAAACCTTAGAAATGGAATCAATAGTTTTATTTATACACCCCCCCCCTCCCTCCTAAATAAACAGCTTATAAATGAAAGTTTTAACTTGCATTTGTAAATGCTAGTATGTAGTTATGTTTGGAATTTGCTGTGATTGCTATATCTGAATGGCTGGCTTCCTGACAAAGTGTTTAACCTTAAATTGCTGACAGCTAATGCTGCTATTTTTACATGAGCAATGTGCCAGACACACAGTGTGCACACATTCTTCTGCTCTAACCCTATTTGTTATCATATATAGACAAGCCACATATAAATTACACACTACTACATGTCTTCTTCACTGGAAAATCCTGCACAATAGTAGGATGTATCATTGTGCAACCTTCAGCGATTGAATGTTTCGCAGTGGCGGTCAGTGAGGACTCAGACGTGGAGCACAGATTAGGCTTGTGTTGTGCACCTGTCACAATAATACATGTCACTGGATAGGCTAGTCTGCTCAGCAGCAGGGACTGTAATGGCTCCCACCTCACTGTTGCTCTAAATGGCGCTCAGCTGCTTGGGTTAAATTAAATATATGCTCTTATATTATATTATTGTTAGTAAAATGATCTCATTAATCCTCTTTTGTCTTCACCTCTAGCGTGTGTACTACCTCTCTCTGGAATTCTACATGGGACGAACCCTTCAAAACACCATGGTAAACTTAGCTTTGGAGAATGCCTGCGACGAGGCCATTTATCAGGTGAGAGGAGATTGTTAACTGAAAAATAATAATGAATAAGTATTAACGTGTACATTATACATTTATATTAATAAATAATAGAGCATAGAGCAGTGCTTCTCAACCATGTTCCACCAGCACTGCATGTCTTGGATGTCTCCTTTGCCTGTCACATCCAGTACAGGTCTTTCAGTCTGCTAATGAGCTGATGAGCTGAAAGAGACATGGAAAATAAATGTGCAGAGCTGGTAATCCTCAAGGAGCGTGGTTGAGAATCACTGACATAGTGTGCTAGTTGATGATATTTTTGTGAGCTAGTTTAAAACTAGAATCCCCCTGATTCCCTTGTAGGAGTTTTCATTGTCTTTTGGATTATTATTATTATTATTTATATGTACTTAATTATTTTAGAAAACGTGTTTATGACCCACATGCATCATTATCTTTATGAATGAACTTCCATCTACAAAAGTATAAAGATCTTTGTGTGATAACGTGATAGCACTCTTCATGATTTCAGTAAAACGAGCCCATCAACCCAAAGCAGAAGAGCTTGATTTATTATAGAGATCTAAGTCAAATATTGTGGTTGATTATACATGGGGTGTTTATATCCTGATTAATTGGTAATCATTTGTCAGTCATTAATCAATAATACTTCAGTTGTTGAAAAATATTATAAGTACAAATAGAGAATTGTAATAAGTACAAATGACAATTGCTATGTGTTTTCATGGAATAGTTATAGGCTAAGTTATAATTATACCCAAAAGGGACAGACAGAGATTTATTTAGAGTTGTATTTTGTGGGTATAACAAATATATAAAAGCATAGGCAGGAATTAATCTGCATAAACAGATGAGCTGTATGTGTTTTTTATTTCAGGAAAATGACTTTAATGGCTGAGTGATATAACAGGATACATTATAGTGCTGAACAATATTTCATTTGAGCATCGATATCACTATATGTGTATCTGCAATAGTCACATTGCAGAATTAGATTATTCACTCAAGCTTAAAAGATAAAGATATTATTACATTTTTATTTCTTTTCATTTATACAATGATGACCATGTTATTTTACAATTGATTATTACATTACTGTACTTGAATACTGTTAGACCGCCCAGAAAACCATAAAGTACTGTTTATTTATTTAATTTGCTTGAAATTTATATTTTATGCAGATGCACTGCAAAGAAAAAGACTTGACCGTCCCAGTCGATCTAAATAAATGAACTTTTTCCAAATAGATCTGGTGAAATTATATTCATATCACAATGTATACTGCAGCAAAATAAAATATCGCAATGTCATATTTTTCCAATATTGTGCGGCCCTAATACATTAAACACTTATTCAACAGTGTTTACATTTGTCTGTTGCCTCATTACAAATGTACACCGCAAATGACACAATATACAGTGCTCAGCTTTGCAATATTATCTTTGTGCCTTACGATAACGGTCCAAAAACTAGTACACCCCCCAAAGTCATATGTTATAGAAAAATATGAAATACTAATTTAAGATTTGTAGCAAAATCAAGAGAAGCAAAAAAGAAAAAATAAATTAGCAGATATTTTGCAGACATTTTATTTATTTTTTTTTTTAGCAATATTTTGCTTGAATTTAATTGTATTATTTTTCAATTTGTAAGTGAAGTTTATTTATAAACAAATTTCGAGAGGATCAAGTGCTTATGATTTACCACGACTGGTCTTGCATTAACTAATCATGATCTCCCAATCGTATGATTCCACATTTACTATAAATAACCACAGTTTCAGTCCACAGTTATCTTCATATGGAAGAAACCCCCTTCTCCTTTCCATAGATCGGGCGGCCCAGTGATTAACACTGTTGCCCCACAGTGCAGATTAGCACTGTTTCCCCCAGCTCTGGTCCTCGCCCGGCTGGTGGGAGTTTCTGTGCAGAGTTTGTGTGTTCTCCCCATGTCTGCGTGGGTTTCCCCCAGGTCGTCCGGTTTCCTCCCACCATACAAAGATATACATTTTTCATAACAGGTTAAGCAATTCAGGAACTAGTCTACTCTCTTCCTCCTCAAGTGTTTCCTTTGCTACCGCAGCTGCGGAGTTTGAGATCCACCTAAGCTCAAGCTCCCACCTGGCTCTACGATTAGGAGGGAGCCCTGGGCTTGAGGATCCCTTGAGCTCAGGGCTCTCTCCGGGCACAGTATGCAAAACAAGCTTAAATTAAATAATTAGATAACTGTGAACTCTTGAAATATGTTTGGTGACTAAAATATTATTTTAATAAATATATTTGTTTAATAAATTTATTTTGTTTAAATGTACCAAAATACAATGCCTATTTTCACTGAGAAATGGATACAAATCTTTCTTTTCAATATAGGGTGTATTTAATTATGCTGAGCACTGTAAATGTTAAACTTGCAAACAGACCTCTTCGATGTGGCTTTGAATACATTTCAGCAAAATTAGTGCATAGACGAGCTGTAAACAGATGAGACGCTCTGTTGCATTTGTTTACCCCAGAGATTTCCCGCTTTCAAAACATAGAAACTTACATAGAAAATACAATTTTAAAAATTGCTGTGTTAAACTTAGAAACCAAGGAAATGTTATCTCACTTACATACTTGAGATCTAATTTCTGTTGGCTGAATTTTTTAATTTTTTTAAATGACATTGAAAAATGTTGCATCATCATAATCACAACTTGAATAAATCCCAGACGTAACCCTACACACAGAAATGCATCCAGGACAGTTTTTCTGTGCACAGAAGCTCTTTAGCAGAGACGAGATTAATAGTGCTATTGACAACATTATGAATCCTTGGTTTATTTGGCCATCCCTATTAATATGGGCTGATGAAATATAAAAGCATGCAACACAATGTGATTTGTATTCTTAGAAGTTATCTAATTGATTTAGTTCCATCTGGCTCTTGAGGGCCTTTCAAGCTATGATCAATACTGTTCTGTATATTAAATTTTTGCTGTCTGCTGCTTAACATATACAGGCTTTAATACAGTAGATACGCTGGAAATAAATCTTTGTGATAGTTGATTATTTTCTGCAAGTTCTGAGGATTGTTCTATAATATTTTATTTCATTAACTATTAGAACAAAATATTTGTCATTATTATTATAGATATCCTTATTTGTGTGAACGGGCCTTTATATTTTGTGTTTCTTCTCAGCTGGGTCTGGATATGGAGGAGCTGCAGGACATTGAGGAGGACGCTGGCCTGGGGAACGGAGGCCTTGGTCGTCTGGCAGGTGAACTCAGTCTCTTTAAATTCTGGGATCATTAAGTTAAGGGATATCTTCGATGAAGTTCTGTCATCATTTACCCACCCTCTAAACTATAGGTCCCAATCCCAATTCCTGGATGGCCGCAGCTCTGCATAGTTTTTCTCCAAGTCTAATCAAACACAGCTGATCCAACTAAGCAAGGTGTTCAAGACTACAAGAGACTATTATGCTGCGGTCTAGCATAATAGTTTCAGCATGCGAAATTTTGTTGTACGGTGCTGCGAAAAGGGCCATGATTAAACAAGATGATCGTTCATTCATTCATTCATTTTCTTTTCTGCTTATTCCCGTTATTAATCTGGGGTCGCCACAGTGGAATGAACCGCCAAGCTATCCAGCATATGTTTTTTACATAGTGGACATCCTTTCAGCTACAACTCATCACTGGGATACACTCATACTCTCTCATTCACATTCATACACTACGGTCAATTTAGCTTATGCAATGCACCTATAGTGCATGTCTTTGGAATGTAGGGGAAACCGAAGCACCCGGAGTAGACCCACATGAACACGGGGAGATCATGCATATTCCACACATAAATAACAACTGACTCAGCCGAGGCTCAAACCAGCGACCTTCTTGCTGTGAGGCGATCGTGCTACCCACTGCGCCACCGTGACACCGCAAGATGATTAGACATTTTACAAAAAAAAAAAATTCCAAAATTAAATTTTCTGTCCAGAGAGGTCATGTTTTGATCTTTAAATGGTCTCATGCAGTCAAGTGATGCGATTTCGGAGGTCAGAGTTCACCAAGCTTGAACTTGGCAAAACTTGTTTTTTTTATTGTTTAACCTGACAATACAGGAACATCAGAACCTGCTAAACTTGTCGCATGAGCTTGCGTTTCCGGTCTGACGCATTTGCATGCATATGAATGGAAGTCTATGAGGTGAAAAGTCCAGTGTGATCACGGCTTTAAGCAGGTGTGAGTTGGAGGTAGTTGAAGCTAAACTGTGCTGAGGTGTGGCCCTCCAGAAATTGAGTTTAAGACCTTTATCACTTTCTTCTGTTAAAAACAAAAGGAAATATGTTGAAGAATTTTGCACACCTTTAGCCACTGAATTCCTTAATATTTCTTTCCTGTTATGGAAGTCAATGACTACCAGTTACCAACATTCTTCAAAGTGTCTTCCATTTTGTGTTCAACAAAAGACAAAAACTAAAGGGGAAGTACATTTTTGGCTAACTATCTCTTTAATGGTGGAGGACTGGTTTATTTAAATGAGCTGAGTTGTTTTTGTTTGAATTGCTTTACACAGCAAATACGGCCCAGAAACTAAACCTGAAGTCGCATTCATTTTCAAAAACGTGTATTTACACAAGCTGTGTAATAGGGTTTAGTTTCTTTAACATAGTTTATGAATTGGTGGTGTAAATAGGACTTTATATTTCTCCTTTTCTACAGCTTGCTTCCTGGACTCCATGGCAACTCTGGGTCTGGCAGCATATGGATATGGAATCCGCTATGAGTTTGGAATCTTTAATCAGAAAATTGTGAAGGGTTGGCAGGTAAAACCCAATATCTCACTGAAATCTATTTCACTTCCCTTTGGTGTATTTGCTCTTAGTAAATGAGTGCTGTCATGTGACAGGTAGAGGAGGCAGATGATTGGCTGCGCTATGGCAACCCTTGGGAAAAGGCCCGGCCTGAATACATGCGTCCGGTGCATTTCTATGGTCGCGTGGAGCACCACCCGGATGGAGTGAAATGGGTGGACACACAGGTGAGAGCCTAGAAAGACATGAATATACAGTAGTCAACATTTGAAGTGTTCAGCATCTTTTATCAAAATTGTCCTAAAATCAATCAAATCACTTTTATTGTCATGTCATATCATGAGTTAAAAGCAAAGGTGCTGCCTCCGGACAGTGCAAAATATAGACAGTGCAAAATACAACAACATACTCTCAAAAAAACAAGACAATATACAGTTGACAATGGATACATAGAAGACAATTAATAGGTGTACACATAGTCTGACTGTTGGTGGAAAATGATTGTAGGCAATATTGTTTTCTTTACTTTCTTTATTGTCCACAAGTGGAAATTTATCTTTGGCTTCACCACACAACCACATCAGCACTCACATTACACACATCACAGAAAAACAGGCAACACAAATACATTCAATGTCATCACATATATCACATTAAAACTCAATTTGTGTTTCCTCTAGGCACGGTTGCTTTGCGCAAGTAAACGGGAGCGCACACTCTTTTAAACAGCTACAGTTTTTTAACAGTATGCAGTTACAAAAGTGGCGCATTTAAGCTCTGTTATCTTCACTGCCTGATAGATATATGATATAAAGATAGGATAAGTTGAAACAGCACGATTCTTAGGTTTTTTGGGGGGGGACAAGTTGATTGTTTTATGTTCAATCCACTTAAATTTGTGAAAATGATTAAGATGACTTAATCGATTTGTGTTGTAACAACATAAAATTATTTTGTGGAACCCAGCATTTTTACAGTGTAAAGCATTCAGAATTTGTTCTGTAGTGACAGTGGAACTAAAAAAAGACTGCGTTCAAAATCACCTACTTCTCAGTAGGTACTACATTTGGGTCTGAATTTACTGCTCGACCATTAGAAAAGTATGTTCTATACAGTATGAATGTGTGTATTGTGAATGGAACTCAGACATATTACATCCACCATTTTGTAATGATTACAAGATGTCAGTTGCATCACTTCACTCCCATACATAAATTCCCTCTCAAAGCATCATGGGATAGCGTAGCATCCCTCGGATGTGCATTTCAGAATCTCGCCGGAAGCAGTAGGTCATCTGGGTACTTCTTGCATACTTTTTTTTTTTCGCATTCTAGGAATTCGGATATACTACATGGCTTGAATATTGTTTTTAGTGCACTATATAGTATGGAACTATGCAACTTACTCAGCCTCATACTTAATCAGCATGTTATTTATACAGGTTAATTTGTATGTTTTCCTATTCCGCTTGCTTTACCAGGTCGTCCTTGCCCTCCCATATGACACTCCTGTCCCAGGATACAGGAACAACATTGTTAACACAATGAGGCTCTGGTCTGCCAAAGCTCCATGTGAATTCCATCTCAAAGACTGTGAGTTCTCTTCAGCCCTTGTTTGATTTTTAACATCATAAATGTCTTTACTGTCGCTTTGTGCTCCTTTGTTCTATATGTCTTATGAAACTCTCTCTGACTTTTCAAACAGTTAATGTCGGTGGTTACATCCAGGCCGTTCTGGACAAGAATCTGGCTGAAAACATTTCCCGTGTGCTTTACCCTAATGACAATGTGAGTGCAGCTGAAGTCTATTCACATAAAGCATAACAAGAAGGAAAATCTCATGACTCTGGAAGCCTGAATGTAAACAAATCCTCCTGTTTGTGTTTGTCAGTTCTTTGAGGGTAAAGAGCTGCGTCTGAAGCAGGAGTATTTTGTGGTGGCCGCGACTCTCCAGGATATCATTCGCAGGTTTAAAGCCTCCAAGTTTGGTTCAACTGAAATAGTGCGCATGGATCTGTCCACACTGCCAGATAAGGTAGGTCAGACCCAGAGCTGTTTTATGTTAAAGGGATAGTTTACCCAAAAGATTTATTTTATTCCAAACCTTTATGAGTTTCTTCTTCTGTTAAACACAAAAGAAGAAATTTAGAAAAATGTTGGAAAACCTGTAACCACTGACATCCTTTTTATGTATTTATTTTTTTACTGGATGTCAGTGTTACAACTTTCTTCAAAATATCTTCTTTTGTGTTTAACAGTATTAAAAAACACATAAAAGATTTATAACCACTTGAGGGAAGAGGAAATAGTGAGTCAATTTTTATTTTGGGTGAACTATGTCTTTAGTAAGTCTCTATGTCTTTTATAAAGAGTTTTAGAGAATACTCAACACAATTCAGATCACATCACGTGTAATTGGTTGATATTAATAATACTTTTTTTAATAGTTATTAGTAGCACTAATACAGTTAGAAATGTAATGTATCCGGCTTAAAAAAAAGAAATACTAATGTACTAATGTCGTTTCCTTTGTTTGTACTTTTCAGGTTGCTATTCAGCTGAATGACACTCATCCTGCAATGGCAATCCCTGAGCTGATGAGGATACTGGTGGATGACGAGAAACTGACTTGGGATGTGGTGAGTAGGAAATACCCTTTTCATTTAAATCGAGTTATTTACTAGTAATAAACGATAGATAAAAAAGGGACACACAGTCAAATTGTATGACTGTTGAACTAATGAATATGAATTATTTGAGGATATAAAGTAACCCCCCCCCCCCCCCCCCCCAGTTATGGGTTGCAGCTGGAAGGGCATCAGCTGCGTAAAACATGTGCTGGATAAGTTGGCGGTTTATTCTGATGTGGCGACCCCAGATCAATAAAGGGACTAAGCAGTAAATAAATGAATGAATGAAAGGAACCCTTTCCAGTATATACAGTACTCAACATAAAGGAGTACACCACATTTTAAAAATCAATGTTTTCATCCGTTTCTCAGTGAATATAGTTAGTGTATTTTGATCCATTTGAACAAAACAGATTTATTAAACAGATATATTTATTAAAATAATATTTTAGACACCAAACATCTTTGGAAATATTAAGAATATATATTGAAATTCAGTTTCAACAAAATTGTATTTATTATTTTTTTTGTTTCTTTTGAATTTTGCTCTTTTTAAATTTTTTGTTTACTATTTTTCTCTAGTATATAATTTTGGGTGTGCTAATTCTGGACCGTTATCATAGGTTATTTTGTTAGATCAGCTCCAGATTTGGCTCCAGTACTGACTAATCTATTGTATATGCACAACTGTAATATTGTAAAGTTTTTTATAGAAAATGTTAATTTAAATGAGATTTTATTAATCTAAATATTCCTGATCAATGCATAAAATGCAATAAAGAGATAGGAACTGTATATCATTGTTTATGGAAGTTTCATTTGGTCGAATTTTTGGGGGACAATTCTAAACTTTTCATCCATAGTATTAAAACAAGATATACCCAAATATCCAAAACTTTGATTTCTAAATATATTTCCTATTACAACGCTTTTACTAGTTCAAATAAAAAAACTGTTAACTTTCTGTTTAATACATGCAAAACTTATAAAAGCTCATTTTAATAAAATACTGTCTTGTTGTTTTGCTTTAAAAAAATTTATTTATATAGTCAAGAGAAAACCTGAAAAGTTTTTCAAAACTTGGAATTCCTTTGTAGAATTCCTGAAGGAAGCTGATACAAATCTTTTCTCGGTATAACTTGTATCACCTGCTATTGATATACTGTTGTTGTTATATGATGTACCTTTACATTGTATGTGTAAGTATACGCATTTACTTATACATATATACACATTTTTATTATTATTATTGTTATTATAATTATTTTTTGAATGTTTGGTTTTGATTTCTGTTGTACATGTTAAAAGCTACAAAAAACCAATAAAGACGGTGATAAAAAAGAGAGATTTGTAAGGGTTGTACTCATATGTTGAGCACTGTAGGTGCATTAAAAGTTCATAAAAAGTATACACATTATGATACCAGCAGACAAACAAATTCAACACAAGTTAGTGCATAAAATGTGTGTAAATCTCATAATTAAATACAATATGAGGAGAATAATGTCACTGGGCTGGATGTAGTAACTAATGTTAACAAATTGGATAATAAATGTTGTCCAGTTTACCGACACCATAAAATTGTGCTCCTTTACCTCTTGTAATGTTTCCATTTACACTTAAAAAATTTGCTGCAAACTATTTATATGGGAAATAACATGAAATTTAATAATGTTCAACTTAATTTGTTTGTTTAAATTCAACCCAAATAAATTGTTTGCAACCACTTACCTTATGCCAAGCTCAGACTGCATGATTTTAGCCCCGATTTTGACTCGCAGACAGATTTTGAGAAATTGCCAACAAATACCTGAAATACCTGAAATCACAGATTAACCAGTGTGAACTATCAAAGACTCAATCTGAGAGAATTCCAGATGAGTCGCCAACACCCGTGAGACATTTGGCATGCTAAAAATCAGCGCTGTCTGCGATTCAGAGTTATGCTGTGTAAAATGTGTCTAATTGAAAATAACATCAGCGATTATCTACAGCCAATGAGAGAGCAGCCTCCATTAGTATGGGTATTTGCAGGTCAGCAGGAGGGTGGAAGACAAATTAAGGTCTTCTTTTGGTCTATTTGGACCCAAGAAATGGAAAAAAAGCAAGTGTAAAGTTGACACGAGCAACCATGTCTGTTTGACGTGTCATCTAAGCAATATCTCAACTGGGTAGAAAAACAAAAAAGTTGAGGAGAAATTGCTAATTCCCTTCAAAGGCCAGTTGAGCAAAATAAGTAAATTTTTTACTATGGTTCTGCAATTAAGCGAAATCGAATTAAAATATAAAATGTATATTTACATATGTAAACAAGAGTCATGAATAACATCTGAGGAGAAGTGCTTCACAACCAGTCTGCTCTGCTTCATAAAATAAACTAGACTTTCTGTGATAGTGTAGTGAGGCATGGCAGGCATGGTATGGGTTGTCATGAACTATACCACACTACACGAGAAGAAACGATCGAATCTTGTGTCGCGATGTACATTTGTCATTTACAACTCCTCACAACACCCTACGTCACGGAAATTGTGCTGAAATCATGTGATCTTACCGGGGCTTTATAACTAGCCAATTGAGTAAGCACACTTTCGTTCTGCCCAATAAGAATTGCACAACTGAACTACGCCAACAATAAAAAATAAATAAAACAAACATCAAAGCGCTAACAAGTGGGATGATGGCATCTGCTGCTTCAGATGCATTAATCGACAAATTAATATCAAAGAAAAACAGCATTTGTAATACGGGAAACTTTTGGTTTCAAAGTCACAGACACCAAACAAAAAACAGTTATTTTTTATGAGCTGTTGCAGAATTGTTGCCACAGCGTACAGATTATTGAGCTGAAGCTTGAATTAAATTGAAATCAGATTAAAGTTGGTATTTAATCGTAAATCAAATCGCAATATCTGTCAAAAAAAATCGCAATTAGATATTTTCTCTAAATCACACAGCCCTATTCTACCCCACTAAAAGCTTCTTTCTCATTATGTAGTTAATAGCAAAAGATATACTAAAAGACCTTGTGTTGTTTCCATGTCACTTCTCACGTGGGTTTGGTTGTGGACCAAGACAATGTTGTTGGCAATTCTTCTCGTTCTTGTAAAGTCGTGCAGTGTAAAACCCCCTGTCACCGATCCATCCTTCAGTGTAAACACAGCAGCAACAGAACTCTACCCCAGATAGTCATGCAGTGCGAAAACATCTGCGCCACGACTACTTTGAAAATTGCCTGAGTTTGACATAAAAGAATTAAGTAAATCCAATGAATCCTTTTTTTTTCTATTTGACATTCTCCAATTTCTCTCTTAGGCCTGGGACATCACTGTGCGTACTTGCGCATATACAAACCACACTGTCTTACCAGAAGCTCTGGAGCGCTGGCCTGTGGACCTCTTCCAAAACCTCTTGCCCCGCCACCTGGAAATCATCTATGAGATTAACAGACGTCATATGGAGGTCTGGGAACACACATTACCTTTAAGCTTCTAGATCTGATGGGGTTTTTTTTGACTGGAAGACCAGTATCTTACTGCATTAGTACAGTCTCCCTTCCAAATAAGGAGTAAATAGTGCAGTGAGGTCGAATAAACAACCTCTTCTGCTCAGCATGACTCAGTAAATCTCTCATGAAGAACAGCATCTGCCCATGTACGTTCTCTGTTTTGACCTTGTGTCCTGTTTTTTAGCGGATCTCTGCGCTCTACCCTGGTGATTTTGATCGTTTGAGGCGCATGTCTCTCATAGAGGAAGGAGGTCAGAAGAAGATCAACATGGCTCACCTCTGCATCGTTGGCTCACATGCCGTCAATGGCGTGGCACAGATCCACTCGGACATTATTAAAGACACCGTGTATGTGAACAAACATTTTTATATTAGAAAAGTCTAGACCAGGGGTGGCCAAACTTGGTCCTGGTGTTTAGCTCCAACTTGCTTTAATACATCTGCCAGGAAGGTTCTAGTATACCGACAGACACTGGCTTCATCTTAATCAGCACCCAAGCTCCCAAGGTTGTTCATCAGTAGGTTAAATGTGCACGAATTCGAACACTGGTTAAGACAATGATGAGCTTGATTCACTACACACTGGGACACACTGACTGTGACATGAGAATGTTCTCATTATACACTGTTTTTTAAAAGTACATTCTAGCTAAATAATTTGATTGTTTCATGTACGAGCAACATTTTAACATTCATTCATTTTCCTTCTGCTTAGTCCCTTGTTTATCAGGGGTCACCACAGTGGAATGAACCGCCAACTATTCTAGCATATGTAGCATATTCTATCACTCATAGACTACGGCCAATTTAGTTTCTCCAACTCACCTATATTGCATGTTTTTGGACTGTGGGGCAAACCGAAGCACCCGGAGGAAACCCTCACAAACATGGAGAGAACATCTGGGACTCAAACCAGCAACCTTCTTGCTGTGAGGTGGCAGTGTTAACCGCTGGGCCACCAGCTAGATATGATCGTTCATGTTAAAAATCTCTCGTTTGTAATTGCGTTTGATGATTTAGGTCACATGATTCATATTTAGAGCTTCTGAACTTTCATTAAGGGCGCATAGTGCATATCGATGTGGCCTGATTTTCATGGTACACTGTGGGACTTTTCAGGGCGCAAACGTTTCAGTTTAGCACTGTTCAGTCTTACGTTTAAACAGCACTTCATCAGTGCACTGACTAGTGAAAAAGGGTGCTGATTGAGACGCACTTATTGATTATTGTTATTATTACGTCAAGCCGAGGCAGAAAATTCTTTGTCTTGCTTTACATACAATAACAAAACATTCCCATAAGACAATCACAGTACATATACTTAAAAGTCTTTACCCCGCCTAAGAACATTATATTTTTTACTTTTTTTAAAAGTAGCTGGTTCAGGTGTGTCTAATTGTGGTTGGAGCTAAACTCTGCAGGACACCGGCCCTTATAATATATATATATATATATATATATAAATATAAAGAATTGAAATACTCACTGGAAAAGGGGTGTTACTGGCATTTATTACAAGACCTTTTAGCTGCGACAGTTTTTTATTGTAATCAATGTCAACGAAGTTACTACTTATGGTTCTTCACCTGATAAAGGGTTAATTGTATACTAAGTTTTTTTTATTTACCAAGTCTACAGTCATTTTTTTTGTGGAAACTGATTATAAACAGTATTTATTTAAAACAGAAATAATTTGTTTAGTTATGCATTACATTAAACATAGTTGATATTTATATTTGCTGAACAAAGTTTTTGAATAATTGTTTTTAAACTAAATAACAACTATTTTAAAGAAAAATAGCATATGTTTTTTCAATTAGCAAAATTAAAAGATTAAGCTTTTATGGATTTCTTCTGTTGAAGACAAAACAAGATATTCTGAAGGATGTTGCAACAGTCATATTAGGAACAAAAAATATAATTATCAATGAATATCATTTTCCCCCAACATTCTTCAGTATATCTCTCTTAATGTTCAACAAAGAACATTAAATAAACTTAAAAAAAAAACAAGTGGAGGATGAGTAAAGTATGCAGGGTTTTGGATTTTATTTTTGGGTAACTAACATTTTAAGCATACATATTTAGGTAATCTGGCAATACCTTAATTCCAAATATATTGCTTATTACACAATCTCTTGTTCTTCTAATGACCTAATTTATTTCTTTTAATTTCATTAGGTCTGCTGTATGACTTGCATATTCTTAAAACCCTAAAACAGGCCTATCTAATTGACTTGGGTTGATTTTGTGTACAGATTTAAGGACTTCTATGATGTGGACCCACAGAAGTTTCAGAACAAGACCAATGGCATCACACCTCGTCGCTGGCTCGTCATGTGCAACCCTGGACTGGCCGAGGTTATCGCTGAGGTCAGGAACATTGCTGATAGTTATCATAATTTGTAAGCTTTGAGAACTAAAAACATTTAAATTATGTTTAACAGAGCAAGGAATTTTTCACAATATGTCAGATAATATTTTTTCTTCTGGAAAATATCTTATTTGTTTTATTTTGGCTAGAATAAAAGCAGTTTTTATTGTTTTTAAAACCATTTTAAGGTCAATATTATCAACCCCCTTAAGCAATATTAAAAAAAATTATGTCCTGTCATCATGGCAAAGATAAAATAAATCAGTTATTAGAAATGAGTTCTTAAAACTATTATATTTAGAAAATTATTTCCATAAAACAGAAATTAGGGAAAAATATATACTGAGGGCTAATAATTCAGGAGGGCTTACAATTCTGACTTCAACTGTATCTTGTAAGCTTGTGTGAGAAATGTAAATCCTTGTTTGACATTACTCATTAGAGAATTGGTGAAGACTACATCCGTGATCTGAGCCAGTTGAAGAAGCTCTTGAAGTTTGTGGATGATGATGCTCTAATTCGAGACATTGCCAAAGTCAAACAGGTAAGAAAGTAAATAAAACATGGAGCAGAAATTCAGTGTAGTGATCATTAGCATGATGGACTTCATATGCATGTTGCTGCGCCATTTTCAGGAGAATAAGATGAAATTTGCCGTGCATCTCGAGGAACAGTACAAGGTGAAGATCAATCCCAACTCCATGTTTGACGTCCATGTGAAGAGGATCCATGAATACAAAAGACAGTTGTTGAACTGTCTGCACATCATCACTCTCTACAACCGTAAGTTGAAAAAAATATCACTCAAATTTTGATTAAAGGTTTAGTTCACCCAAAAATGAATATTCTGTAATGAATTACTTTCTCTCATGTCGTTACAACCTCCCTGAGCCCTTCATGCATCTTCAAAACACAAATTAATATGTTTTAGATTAAATCTGAGAGCTCTCTTATCCTCCATAGTGAGTGATGGTCCAGAGACATTCCAAAGGATCCAAAAACGTTGTACAATTATTCCATGTGACTTAAGTGGTTCAACTGTTATTATACAACGCTCCAAAAGTACTTTTGTTTGCTAATATTAAATCAGTTCATGAGGGTGTGCATTTTCTATTTTAAGTATGACGTGATGAAAGCCATTAGAGTCATAGTGCAATCCGCAACACTGTATTACTTACAGTAAATCAGAAGATTCCAGATTTTCAAATAGTTGTATATTACATCCTCCCAGTCTAGGGTTGGGAAGGAGTAATAAAGAAAGTGGTGGAGGTTTGGATTAAGTTTGTTCCCTTCTACTGAATCAAGAAAACAACAAGCTTAGCGTTCAAGAAAAAAGTGTATTTACCATAAGGAAGCTAACAAGTTTTTAGGAGGGGTCAAGGCCAACATACCAAACAAAACATCCTAACTTCAATATTTTTATTAACTAAATTAATAAATAAGAGAAAACAGAATACAAAACAATACACCAACTCCCTTTCTGTTCTTACACAGGAGAAAACTTAGACAAAAGAAAATGGCAACCACCTCCTTACAGCTTCCAATAAATTAACAATGAATTAAACAAATAAATAAGTCTTTGTGCCACAGAGAAAAATAAAGAAACTCTGACAGGTTAGGTGTTAACCTACATGATTTGGTTAAACAAATCCTCTCACATGAGGAGTGAAGGTCTTCACAGACAATATCAACAATTTAACCACACCAAAAAGAACAAAACCCCAATAACAAGCCAGCAGAAGGGATTCTTGCTCCAAAGATCCCAGCTCTGTCTTATATCCACAAGCCAATCCTTTGGTGGACCAATCAGGATTGAGAATCCATCGGTGGAGCCAATTTGCAGGGTTGACTCCACCTGATCAGAATTAAAGCCTCATTGAAGGAGAGAAATAAATACATGATATCTACAAGAGACATTCATGGAACATAACATGTATCTTAACCAGAATGCATGAGTGTTTCAACCCTCAGTGCTGAGTTGGACTGGAAGGGTATCCGATGAATTAAAAAAACATATGCCAGAGTAATTGGTGGTTCATTCCACTGTGGTAATCGCAGAGATTAAGCTGAAAGAAAGTGAGTGAGTGTAACTCAATAATAGCAACTCTATAATACAAGACATAAATATACATAATACATAAATATTCATTTAATATAATGTAATATAATTAATATTTGTACTTCAGTCTTATTAGTGATAGTTACACTACAAATTACAGCAAAACGAAACATCACATTAACATGCAAGTATTAAAAACTTACTGCCCAGCACACTGTGCCCCATATAAAAGCTAACTAATTCATTTCTTACACACTACTGAAATATTTTGAGAATTGACATGACATGACAAAGAGGCGTTTCTTTGCATTGTTTTTCCACAATCAAGGTTTTTACAATAAAATCATGTGTCCATTGTATTTGTTTGCATATACTTTGTGAAATCAGGCTGATTAAAATTTATATATACATTGTATTTAGTAGCAATTATTAACTTCCAAGTATAAAAGCTTATCAGTTATGATTACAAATCAAAAATTCTGTATGGGTGCATCCCTACAATTACCTTTACCATTTCCTCCAATCAGGCATCAAGAAGGAGCCTAACAAGGCCTGGACTCCTAGGACCATTATGATTGGAGGAAAGGTGAGACCGATCACTCGCCGACCACTCAGATTTGTACTTTTCTGAAGTCTGAAGGCTAATCGTTTAATACGCTCCTCTTTCAGGCCGCTCCTGGATATCACACAGCTAAGATGATCATCAAACTAATCACGTCAATCGGAGACGTGGTAAATAATGATATCGTGGTTGGAGATCGCCTGAAAGTCATCTTCCTTGAGAACTACAGGGTTACACTGGCTGAGAAAGGTTGGATTTTTTTCAGTTCTTTTTTAAAACTAAATCTAAGACTAAAACTATTGGTCAAAACAACATTTTTGTTAACTGGAAAAAAATTATATTCTATTATTACTATTACTATTAGTATTGTTAATACTATAATACTATGCTAATATATAATAATGAATGAAATACACAACAAATGAAAAAATTAAACAAAAAACTAATTTTAACTTAAAACATTATTTTAACATATTTTAAGTTATTAAAACTAACTAAAATAAAACAATTATTGGCAAAAATAAATGACAGTGCAATCATCAGATTTAAGAAGCACTCATTTTATGATAGAAAATCTGACCTGTGCCTGTCAGACAACACCTAGGATGGTGCTTTTTACACCAAACACATCAGTCAAGTGCATGCTGATGTACCAAAAATATAAAACATCTTTTCTTCTTCTCCCCAAAAGAAAAAAAGAAACTAGCCACGTCTAACTGCATTTAAACGGATACATTTATTTTTAATATGAGCAAGTTTGTCTGAGTTCTTCATAATGTTTACTTTTATACATTTAAGTTGCACTCATGGTTTTGGTTTCAGTGTTTCTTCAAACAATTATTCCATTTTTATTACTAAGAGGTTAATGTAAACTGTGCAAACATTAAACTTTGCTGTTGTGTTCTGCAGGCTCGTAGCCAGCCTGGTGAAAGAGTTGGTTCTTTTTCTCAAAAAGTGGACCTTTTTGCAATAATAAGCCTCATTTTTTATTTAATTATACTGCATTTTAGTGACATTTTATGTATTATTTTAGTTGGATTAGCTTGTCAGATGGCTATCATAACCACATTTTTGGATTTACCAAAAATATTTCCTAAAGATTTATAGTGAAGATAATAAGAAAAAGATACTTATTTTTAAAATACATATTTATTAAATTCAATATCATTAGAAACAACAGGACTCTGTTAAAGTTTTAAACTAAAAACTGTAGTCTATTGCCATTTATTAGACAAATAACAACCTGGCCAGCACATTCAATTTTCCTCAATCAGAGTTTGGCCATTTAAATAAAAAAAATAAAAAAAAATAAATAAATAATTATAATAATGTAGAGCTTCACAAATTTTCTAGCTTCTCTTGTTAAGAAAGTACATTAGAAAATTTATGGATAACAACAATAGCCAAAATAGTATTCAAATCTATTTTAATAGGGTCCGCTTTTGATGCTTTACACATTTTTATTGCTCATTTTTTGTTTCAAGAATAAGGTCCCGGATTTAGAATTAAAGTTACCTTTAAATTTTTTCTCTGTTTAAAAACAATCCAGTAGCGAAAGAGGACTTCACTTACGTCAGATTGTAAAATGAATATATTTTTAGCATTGGTTAAAACTGACTAGCTGAAGTCACACTGAAGTGACACCCAATTCCGCTTGGTCTCAAAGCCTTTTTTTGATGTTTTTTTTTCACTATTTGTAATGGTATAGCAGTCAAAATAGGACAAATGAACTCGTGTATGGGGCAAATTCTGGACTTTTGTCAGTGAGGGGCAGGTCTTCCGAACCACCCCAACCCCCTTGGCTATGGGCCTGTTTTGTTAACTCCGTAAAACTGGAATGGCTAAAACTAAAAACAAAATAGCAATGTGTTCACAAATTAAATTCTAAATGAATCTAACAAAACCATTTATTAAACAAACTAAAACTAAACTGAAATTTAATGTCTGGACTTTGAGCAGTGATATTTACTTTACACTGAACTGAACTGAGGGAGAGGCGGTGGCGCAGTAGGTAGGTCAGTTGATGTTTCTGTGTGGAGTTTGCATGTTCTCCCCGCGTTCGAGTGGGCTTCCTCTGGGTGCTCCGGTTTCCCCCACAGTCTAAAGACATGAGGTACAGGTGAATTGGGTAGGCTAAATTGTTCGTAGTGTACGAGTGTGAATGAGTGCGTATGAATGTTTTCCAGAGATAGGTTGCAGCTGGAAGGGCATCCGCTGTGTAGAACATATGCTGGATAAGTTGGTGATTCATTCCGCTGTGGCAACCCCAGATTAATAAAGGAACTAAACCGAAAATAAAATAAATGAATGAATGAACTGAATTGAAGTTCAACTCTGAAAACTGGACTGAAGCCGTTTTAGTTTACTAGAACTACATAGAAATAAAGATGAAATTATCTGAATTAAAAAAAAAATACTTTCATAATTTAAGAACTGACAGTTTTTACTCAGCGTACTTCAATCTGTCTTTTTACAGTCATCCCGGCGGCTGACCTGTCTGAGCAGATTTCCACAGCAGGAACAGAAGCTTCTGGAACAGGCAACATGAAGTTCATGCTGAACGGAGCTCTGACCATCGGCACCATGGATGGGGCTAATGTGGAGATGGCTGAAGAGGCGGGAGAAGAAAACCTCTTCATCTTCGGCATGAGAGTGAAGGATGTGGAGGCTATGGATAAGAAAGGGTAATATAATGAGTTTTAATCAACAATGTCCTAAATTAATTTGGAAATTTTTTCGTCCATTGTGCAAATTTTTTGTGTTTTTTGTGCATGTATGTTTTGTAGGGGGGAATTCAGCATGAGTTTAACATTAACATTCACATTTCTGATACCATGTATCATACACTAATATTAAATCTACTAGCTAAATGTATTATTTATCTAAAATATAGATATGAAAGAAGAAAAATTGTTAGATACATTGACTGTAAAACAACTATATAATCAATAAGTAATAACAACATATGTTTTTATGCTAATTATACTTATTAATTTAAGCGTAAGCTGAGAAAATATGATATACTTTTCCTTCTATGCTAATGAAGGACTACTGAGACATTCCAAGCATGGGATGGGTCCTTCTGGTGAGGCAGAGTTCCTCACAGCTCCAATACACATCTCTGCCATTTGCTTACAGTGACCATGTGCTCTTCACCATACACAATTCATCGGCTTGTGTTCTTCTTTCAGATAACTTTGTCATGTTTGGTGTCATTTGACAGTTTGTGACTTCAGTGTTGTAGTGATGAAATCAACAGAGACATTAATTAATTGTATTTCAATCTATAATATATTTACTATTGTTGGGTCATGGCCTGAGGAGAGTATGTTAATGTACTTCTCCCCCACTTCATCTCTTCAACTTTGCTCTCATGTTCAGCTAGTTTTGGGGGTTATTAATGCTTCTTGTTTTAATGATTTAAATGCATTTTGTTATACAAGCTGTTTTGTCAAATTAATGTAATTTAAGTCAATGTAATTTAACTCGTAAGTTTTTTTTTGTTCAACTTTAAAAGTTCAAAGCAACCAGGAATTTTTATTACAGTTTAGGGAGTGATCTCTCTTTGCATTACAATGAAAGTGAATATAAGGTTTAAAATAAAATGCTGATTTTATTGTACTGAAGGAAATGATCACATTAGATGCAGAGCTGCTTGACTTACTTGAAGTTGGTTTGTTTCCAGATACGATGCCATGGAGTATTATAACCGCATTCCAGAACTGAAGCAAGCCATGGATCAGATTTCTGGAGGATATTTCAGCCCTGCAGACCCTGACCAGTTTAAAGACATTGTCAACATGCTGATGCATCATGACAGGTTAGAGAAAACTCTGGAAGGCCTTGTTTCCACCATGCTTTTTAGGTTATTCAATCACAAGTGGTCAGTCAAGATGCATTACTGTTTCCACATGGTATTAATATATATTCAAATGCATGCAAGTAATCAGGATGAGGATGCTATGAACATGGTCTGTATGGATACCTTAATTTAGCCTGATGTATTAATCACAAATTATTAGTTTAGTACTTAGTAAATTTACCGTTTGTGGTGTTTTGTGGCTGTTTCATTGTATTTGAGTGTTTAAACAAAGACTGATGTAAAGTGGAAATAGGGTCAATACTTTGTGTTAGTCACAGTTTAAATGATCTAAATAGTCACGTGGATTAAATTTTGACTGTCTGGTGTTTAGGTTCAAGGTGTTTGCTGACTATGAAGACTACATCCAATGTCAGGACAAAGTCAGTGCCCTCTATAAGGTTTGTATTACAGAGAACTAAAATATTTTGACAACATTAATGTTTTGGTATGTATTGGTTGAGGAGTCTAGCAAAATGCATTGCAACTTTTTTATTTGATACATACTTTGACTTTCTTATTCTAGATATCATATTTCTTATTCTAGAATACAGAAAATGCATTACTGTTTGAAAGATTAGGGTTAGTTATATTATAATTGTATAATAAATTAATACTCAAACTCAACAAAGCTGATATTAAATTGTTCAACAGTGACAGTAAAGAAACATATAATGTCGCTAAAGTAATTGCTATTTCAAGTAAATGCTGTTGAATTTTCTTTAGAATTTTCTGTTGGTCAAGCATCCTGAAAAAACAACTATCAGGCTTTCCACAAAAATATTAAGAAATAATTGATGATATATAGTTATGGATGATTCTTGAGCATCAAATCGGTAAATCAAGATGATTTGATCATGTGACATTGACCCTGCAGGCACAGGATGTCAACATGACATCAGATTGACGTTGTATCCTAATGTCAGGGGGCATTGCATTTTGTTTGGAAATTAAAATCTGGTTAACGCCAGAACCCAACGTCCGTGTCCAACATCAATGTCCAACCTAAAATCAATCAAATGTCAATGTCTAATGATGTTACAGCTTGACATTGTGAGGACGTCAATCAGACATTAGATTTTGGTTGCCATACCTGACAAATAAATGTCAGTATTTAATTTCAATATGATTTTGGTTTAAGATGTTGGCTCTAAGTTAGATTTTGTTCACTTTGCAACACAACCTAAAAACAACCAAATATCAATGCCATTTGACGTCACTATTGGACGTCAAAATAACGTTGTCCTTAGACGTTGGCTAGACATTGAATTTTGGTCACCTAACATCACAACCTAAATCTCACCTATTATTATCATCTTATGATGATGTGAGCCCACTGCGGAGGAATGACAAGTTCTAACATTACAAATTCTTACCAGCCCTAACTTTTCGAATTATAGCGTATATGAATAAGATGAGTGATCAATATTTGTGTTCTTTTTTTTATTGTTATTATTTAGAACAGTGGTTCCCAAATTGGGGGTCGCGTGACAATGAGGAGGGGTCGCTTGGCGGTCAATCAAATTAATTTTATTGAACTATTAGAATTACCATATTTTATCCATAATCTGAAGAACAAAAGAGTAGTTAATAGTAAAATTGTTAACATGTTAATAATAAACATTAAAAAACAACATGAAAATAAAAAACCATCAGCCTTTTGATTCTTTTGTGACCCCTGTGGTGATTACATTATATTAAAGACACATATTGACAAATAACACATTGATTTTATGGCACCAGGTTTAACTTTCTGACACCTTTACGGCACTCACATACATTAAAAATAAATGCAGGCCACAACTGAACATGGAGAATGGTCTCTGAGTGGCAATCTCCAAAATTAAAGGATAAACAAACTTAGACCTATTGCTGTGTGCACTTTTGTGTGCAAGGATTATATATTTATAACTCCCTCAGAGAATATTGGGGGTCACAGGTTAAAAAGTTTGGGAACCCTTGATTTAGTACACTAGCATTACTCCAAGTTTCAGGGTTATAAATTCAAGTCGGCATTTCTCTTACTTCCAGGAATATGTTTATTTGAAAACATTTGTGATATGATTCACTAACAATGTGTAGGTTTACATAGTGCTTGACATTTAGTGTGCTTTAAAGGGATAGTTCACCTAAACATTCACCGTCCGGTGGTTCCAAACCCTTTCTTTCTTCTGTTGAACACAAGAGAAATATATTTTGAAGAAAGTTGAAAACCTGTAACCATTGACTTCTATAACAGGAAAAACAAATACTATGGAAGTCAATGGTTACAGGTTGGATAACAGACTTAAAAGCTGAAAACCTGTAACCATTGACTTCCATAACAGGAAAAACAAATACTATGGAAGTCAATGGTTACAGGTTTCCAGCTTGTAATTCTGTTATCCAACCTGTAATCATTGGCTTTTATAGTATTTGTTTTTTCTACTATGGAAGTCAATGGTTACAGGTTTTCAGCTTTCTTCAAAATATCTTCCTCTTGTGTTTAACAGAGAAAAGAAACTCATAAAGGTTTGATACACGTAAAGGGTGAGTAAATGATGACAGAAGTTTCATTTTTAGGTGAACTATCTCTTTAAACATCTTTACACACAGCAGAAACACAGCAATGCAGCAACTGTGACTCAACTCTTGTTCCTCTCTCCTTCGTTCTCAAACAGAATACTAAAGAATGGACCAAGATGGTAATCCACAACATTGCCGGCTGTGGCAAATTCTCCAGCGACCGCACCATCAGTCAGTACGCCCGTGAGATCTGGGGCATGGAGCCCAGTCTGGAGAAGATCGCAGCTCCAGACGACTCCCGCTAAACCCTTTCCACGGTATCAAAATGTATTGTCGTGGCCGTTTTTACATTCAGTTTATTTACCATTGTGAAAAAATGTATACAGGTGATTTTTAACGTTAAAAAGTCATAGGAGCTCCGTCAGACAGCCAGAATACCTCACGCAACGTCTCTGCATCCCTGCTCCGAGCTTTGTGTGGCATGTTCAAATAGATAGAATATATGTTGGTGTAAGAATGTTAGGTTTCCTGTGAAATATTACGAAAAAGCTATGATGTATCTGTCTACCATGCCGAATGAACAGCACAGCCTCATCTTGGAGAGCTGAACATACACTGTGAGGACAAAATATAGTTTTTTGCCACTCGTTATAGCATGATGGTGACTGTTATGAAAGCAATTTAAAGTGGCAGTTCACTCAAAAACACAAATTCTGTCATTATTTACTTTTTCTTTTGTTTGGATGAATACAAAAGAAGATATTATGAAGGATATAATGTGGTCCCCCTTAGCTCATCCATTCATTTTTATTTACATTTTGGATTATTGTATTAAAATTGCATAATGGAAACACCCAGATGCACATTAATGTTAATAAATGCGAATCAAAAACTTAAATGCACAACTGAGTAGGATAAACCTTTAATCTGATAAGAAAAAAAAACCGCATATAAGTTATGATGAAAACACATCAACTCAGTGTTTCTCAACCATGTTCCTGGAGGACCACCAGCTCTGCACATTTTCTGTGTCTCCTCAACCAAACACACCTGATTCAGATCATCAGCTCATTAGCAGAGACTGAAAGACCTGGAATGGGTGTGGAAGACAAAGGAGACATCCAAAACATGCAGTTCTGGTGGTCCTCCAGGAACGTGGTTGAGAAACACTGTTTTAACTGAATAAACTGCTGAATGTGCTTCAAAAAAACATGTTTGTCCTCTCAAAAATGACTTAAAATAAGTTGAAACAGCAAATTTCTTTTGTTTTTTAGGACAACTTAATTGTTTTATGTTCAATGCACTTTAATATGTAAAAACTATTAAGTTAACTTTAATTTGTGTTGGGACAACATTAAGTACATTACATTAAGTAATTACAACATTAAGTAATTGTGTTTAGGTCTTGTGACAGATTTGTCCGCTACACATCCATGATGAATCTCCCGTTCCACCACATTCCAAAGGTGCTCTATTGGATTGAGATCTGGTGACTGTGGAGGCCATTTGAGTACAGTGAACTCATTGTCATGTTCAAGAAACCAGTTTAAGATAATTGGCACATTATGTTAGGAAACCAGTATTTTTTTTTACAGTGTTACGATTTCAGTTCTTGACTCACTGGATGGAAACGGTGCTTCATTTGTGAATCTTTTATGCGATATTCAAATTGTTTGCGTAAATCTAAGTTGCATATTTGACTTTCCATAGTCCATTTTTCCATACTATGGAAGTCAATGGGGACGATTAGCATCTTGCTTATCAACAATTATCAAAATGTCTTCTTTTGTGTTCAGCAGAACAGTTAAAAACATACAAGTTTGTAGGCGTAAATGCTGAGTACATTTTCATTTTTGAGTGAACTGTTCCTTTAAGAAACCACCAAATTTAGGGCTTTTGTGTGTGTGTGTGTGTGTGTGTGTTGTAGAAAAATGTTTGATTATTGAAATCACTCCATTTCAGTGTATGACAGGCAGTTATCACATGAACAATGTGGGCTATGTGGTACATTTACCGTGGTCATAATTCTTGTTTAAAATAACCTGCCTTAACCAAATGAGTGTCGTTTGTGTGTGTTTAGGTCTAAATCTCTGCCTGTCGATGCTCAAGACTTGTTCTTCCACCCGTAGAGCTTCATCCTTCAGCACTTTAGGCATGATCTGTCACTTTTGTCCTGATACTGTAGCTCTTCCCACATACGCATCTACTTGTAACTCTGTTTTCACACCACACACGACAAGACCTGCAGGAATGATGGGGCCCTGCAGAAAAACTTGAGTCCAGGAAGGCTGCAAAACTAATATAGCACTGAAGTGTGATTCTGCGCACCTGCGTTAGAGACCATGAAATGTATTTATCTGTATTTTAAGATAGAATTATATATGAAGATCTTGTAACAGTGTATTATGCATTGCTCTTGGATTTGCAGGAAGGGGCTACTTAGAAAACTGTACTTTAGATCCACAACTAAACTAGGAATATGATCTTGGTTTAGTGGTATTGGAGTTTTTATTTGTGGTTTCTTGTTACCAACCTGTCCCCCTTCAATGATCGATGAAGATCTTTGTTCTCTCTGAATGTTTGCTTATATTGTGATAACGCACACAAAACAGACCTGCTGATACCCTTCAAGAGTGCATTAAGAGTGTAAAGAAATAAAACAGTAACTAATCACTGTGTCTGCTTTGTTTTTAGTTATACACTCACTGGCCATTTTATAAGGTACACTTTACTAATACCTGGTTGGACCACTTTTTTCCTTTAGAACTGCCTTAATCCTTCATGGCATAGATTCAACACGGTACTGGAAATGTTCCTTAGAGATTTGGGATCATTTTGACATGATAGCATCATGCCGTTGCTGCAGATTTGTCAGCTGCACATCCATGATGCAAATCTTCTGTTCCACCACATTCCAAAGGCACTCTATTGGATTGAGATCTGGTGACTGTGAAGGCCATTTGAGTGCAGTGAACTCATTGTCATGTTCAGGAAACCAGTTTGGGATGATTCACGCTTTATGACAGTGCTGCAACATTCAGATGGGAAGGTCAGAAGTTTGCGTCAACAACATGAAAGCATGGATCCATCCTGCCTGGTATCAATGGTTCTGGCTGGTGATCATGGTATAATGGTGTGGGGGATAATTTCTTGCACACTTTGGGCTCATTATTACCAATTGAGCATCGTGTCAATGCCACAGCCTAACTGAGTATTGTTGCTGACCATGTCCATCACTTTATGACCACAGTGTACTAGTGTAGCCAATAGAGGGCCTTTGGCATGTGGTGGAAGAACAGGAGATTCACATCATGGATGTGCTGCCGACAAATCTGCAGCAACTGCATGATGCTATCATGTTCTATATGGACCAAAATTTATGTGGAATATTTCCAGTACCTTAATGAATCTATCCATGAAGGATTGAGGCAGGTCTGAAGGCAAAAGGGGGTCCAACCAGGTACTAGTAAGGGATACCTAATAAAGTGGCCGGTGAGTGTAAATAATGCTGGGTACAAAATATAATACATTACACTTTATCATACTTAAAAACAATCTTACTTTTTAAGAAATGTAAAAGAAATTACATAACACTTTTTTAAATTACTTAAAAGTATCAAATTGTGACAAATTTAGTGACTTATAAAAATTGGCAAGTATTGCAACAATGTAATAGTCTTTACTGACACTTTTAGCAAATGAGTGTGTTGTTGAGTCAGATAAAAATGCAAAATCCATTGTTCTAAGGCTCTTCGGTGTAGGTTCAGTAATTTCACTTATTTGGGGATATATGTTATTTTCATCGCCTTTAAAGTGAAATAACTGAACATAAACAAAGGAAGTTGAGTAAAATGCTCATTTAAAACAAATAACAGAGGCTTTTGCATCTGAACTTTTCAAATATTTAATAAAAATAATAAAGATAATTATAATAATGCATGCTTGAATAAGATATTTTAATCATAAAAATAAATAATAATATTATTATTAACTCTTATAATATTTAGCTTTAGTCTTTATATGGCTGTAATAGGATGCTATTGTCCTATTAATGACATCAGTGTTGATTTGGAAATGTAATTTGATTAGTTTAATATGAAGACTTCTATCGTAGGTTTCCACACATTCAAACTCAACAATACAGGAACAGAATCGAGGCTTGTTCCTCTTTCTGATTCCCACAGAAAACTAAAGATGGGGTCATGATGATAAACTGCAGTCCTGTCTTGCAGTAATTCCCCAAAACTTAGGACGGCGCTATTTCACCTCCAAACTCCTCAAGTTCAAACACCACTCACTTTTATTTGAGGAAGGGATCGGTTTTGAAGCGAACCCCCTCAGTGATGCCTCTGTACACTGGGAGACCGCCTTTCCCTTCAGGCTTGATCCCACGCTAGAGTTCTGTGGAGGCGAGAGATGCTTTACCGGGAAAACGGTGACGCAGCAGCTGACGGAACTGACAGACGTCGGCGTCGTATTGCTTAACCGAGAAGAGCTTTAAAATCCAGATCACAAGACTTGGCGTCCAGGAGTCCAGTGCTGGTGGAGGAAACCACCAAAACTGCGCGAAGACCCTGAAAGGTGTGTATCAAACTTTATTAGTTTGGACTCGTTCAGTTGTTAGAGCTAATAGAATTATAGTTTTTAAGTCGCGTGAAAGATAATGACAGTTGTGTTAAATGTGCTAATCCTTCCGAGGTAACGATGTTTTTTGCTACTTGAAATAATCAAAGAGAAGAACTCAATAAGATGGAGGTTTTATTGATCTGGCTCTTACAATAACCGACAGGGTAACGTATATCTGAAGACTTCAAAACGTCAATAGAAAGTCTGCATTGTTTTGTTTTGGAGTTTTAGAGTCCACAAACTTTGTGTTTTTGAATTGTGTGTGTGTGTTGTTTTGCATCAGTTGGTTTGTAAAATACTTGCAGAGCAAGAGAAAGGAAGTGGTAAGTTAAGCGTTTGAACCGTGACTGAGTTTCACTATCATCATATTTCAGAGGATCCTCATCTCAGTGTGGAGGATCTTTTTTTGTTTAAAATACTATAGCCAAACTGTTTTCTTTTCGATTCCCTTAATAGTACACGTGAATGAAAAAAAAAATGTCTTGCAGAGTTTCATGCACTACTTTATTTTACATATTTCGTTGACCCTGCCGTGTAGCGAGTTGATCACCAACAAATGACTCTTCTGAACCGATTCGTTTTAGTGATTCTGAAACATGACACCCTGCGTAACCCCATTCAGAATCACTCGTGTGACCCGATTCTTGAATGAATCAGGAAGTTGCTTTCGAGTCGACCAGAGGAACCTGATGACAAATGACTCCTATTAACTGGTTCCTTAAAGACCATAAATATACAGTTACACCATAGTTTTCTGTGTTAACTATTAACAATAACTCAATAGTTATTCTTCGTAAGAGCCAGTTGTTCTTAATGATCCAGAAACTCACACCCGACCTGATTAGTCAATTTATGAACAAATGGCTCCTTTGAATCACTTCTTTTTATTGATTCAGAAAATTTATCAATTAAATTTAGTTTTTTTGTTGAAATGTACAAACATTTCTGTGCTTCTGTTCAAGTGCTTCTGTCTCTTTGCTATGGCAGATGGACAACGGAGGGTTTTGCTATGACAATTATCACAGTGGAAGCAGTGACGATGAGCTGGTGGATATTTCTGATGTCACGGTGGACTACAATGAGGATGTCCCACCGTTGGATCGAGATTACAGCACAGGTATGGACAAAAAGCACATACTTGCCCATGATAGAAGTAGCCCTTTCACAATAATCAATATATGGCCTTATCGCACAACACAGAGATGTGACTTCAATCAAGTTTAGTGATGCGATATATATTGCCCATACAAAACCAATTCTAGCAACATTTTATCTGATTGTGCAACATCTCTATCTCTAATGGAGGTGTCAGTATGGTTAAAAACAACACTATAGTATTTACTATAAATTGCTATAGTATATTTTCATGTGGGTGTCTGACAACTGAAAATAGACTGGGTAGCAGACATCGCAATTACTTTTTACTTGGGACGGGGAGTCGACTCCAAAAGAGTTGATTCCTCGACTCTTAATGGACCTAGTACCGGAATCGACTCGAGGACAGGAATCGACTCCCAGAGTTGAGTCTGTTTTTTCAAACCGCTCCTGAATGAAGCAGTTACATGCTACAGTTATATGCTCATTCTCGAGCACGATGAACACCGAAAGCTCCCGCTTTAAATGCGTGTTCACGTGTTTTACGCTTTTGCTTTTGAATTTCATGACCACAAGCACTCTAGGCTGTTATAAATAGTGCTGCGGGATGAAGTTTGCTTTCACTTTCAAACTCCTATAATGCAAACCTATTTGCATTTTGGTTTTAAAGATGATCTGCCTGCGATATTAAGTTTGCTGTGTTAAAAATTAAATATTGTAGCAGTGAATTTGTAGCGCATTGAATACTGTATGCTCAAATAAAAGTTTTATTTAACCCATGCCAATTTCACTAACAAATAAATAAATAAAACGCTAATATTAATGACAAAAGTAACCAAGATTTATTTATTATCGCAGAATCTGACAATACATGTGGCTTTCTTTTGGGCCTAAATTCACTTGTTTTCATCTCTAATATTCATATTCAAATAACTACAAAAAAATATACCAAATGAAATTGTTTCAAAAAGAGGGTTTTTAAATCAAATATAACCAAGGATGTGTTCAAAAACAGGTCTGACTCACTCCTCTTATTCTGGCAAATGACCTCCCATTACCATAACCTTATGGAATCAATGAACAAATTGCACAAAACCGCCAATGATATTTTAAAGTGCAGTAATAGGCTATTTAAAAGCACACCTTAAAAAAAATCACATTTACGAGAGAGCAATATATGTGTCAAGCCTGTCCCACTGCTTTTATTTAGTATTTTAGGTTTGTTGATGCATACATTAAGTTAAACATTTTGTGTTGGGGTGTAATATTTAATTGGACAATAAATTGAAAATCTTTAATCTATAAAATGTTTAATCCTTGTGCTATTTTAAGTGAATGGAAATGGAGTCGATTACGGAGTCGATTCCACAGGCTCTAAAATTATGAATCAAGAATCAGAGTGGACTCCAAAAAACTCTGAACCGAACACCCCTAGTTTTTTACTGCACTTTCTTTTGTAAACTTTTATTCTTATTTTTTAGGATGTGCATTTACATTCTGATTCTAATGCCTGATTATACAATTGTTCAAATGATAATAATTAAATGAAATAATCTTAAGAATAAAATATTATGTGGTGTTTTTGAATGAGCGCATCTGCATTGTGGTGATTTTATATTGTCTTTCTGGCATTATATATTGAATGAGTGGCATAAAATGGTATAAAATGGCATTAAAGTGACCAGAAATATCGTTTATTGCAATATATTTTGAACAAAAAATTGGTATCATGACATGTCTTGACAGAAGTGGATGTTCTTTGACCCTTATCATAAACCACATGTTTTTTTTTGGAAGATTAATTAGTTTGTATTAGCCTCAGTATCACACAATGTTTTTTGTGAAACATCTAGCTGTATCTCTTAGTTTGGATCAGATCACTCTGTTCTCTGTCTGCACAGATACAGATGATGCTGTGTGTGATGTCACCAACAGGCTCTTATCATACCAAGAAATTCCTCTTTTTTTCTATTGTCTGTTCCTTATTCCTTGTTTCAGTCTTGCTTCCTTTCTGACATTGCTATACTGATCTGTTTCACATACATTAAAATGTCTACATTAGGGCTGTACAATATTGGAAAAATCGGACATTGCAATATTTAGTTTTTCTGTGATACTGTCTGTATATATTGCGAGAGAATGTAGGCATGGGCCAGTATAAGAGTCTGACGGTATGATAACCTTGGATAAAAAAATCACGGTTTCATGATTTGACGCTATTATGATTACGGCTCTAATATAAATTCTTTTCAAATGTCTGGGTGAAAACAGGGATTTTGCAGGTTTCATTACGTCTAATTTAAGACTTTTAAAGACCGTTTTAAGACCGTTATCAATGAAATTTCAGACTTTCACAGGACAAAACACTAATAATTTTCTGTAATAACCAGTGGAATTCTTTTTACTTGCCTAATTAAAACTAAAATTCAGTTCTTTCTTAGCCACATATTTTGAATAATGTTTCAAAACAAGCAAACTCTAGAGATAATATATATATATATGAGCACAACTTTTCTTTAAAAAAAGACAAGTTTTAAAAGCTTTGTTTTGTCTTATGATTGGCCTGTTGTCCACCAGGGTTTTACACTCGTGGAATTTACATGAAAACGAGGGAAAAGTGATGTCTGAGGCTCACAGTATGCCTGTTTCCATATACTAATCTTTTATTCTTCTACTACGCCTTGGTACACCCACATTTTCTTTATAGGGCACACTTGAAGCATAGATATCGCAATGTGTGCATCCACAGTAGTCACATGACAAGATATGTAATGTTAAGTCTGATTTATTGTTGACCAGGAGTTACAGAACACATGTGGTTTGTAGAGTCACTGCAAAGTTTAACCATAATAGAGTGAAGGGTTATCATTTGCGTGTGTTTTAAAGGCCTGTAAATGAGCATTTCAAGAAAGTGTAAAACATGATTATTTTACTTAGCCCATAGGCAGATCATTTTGCTGGTTTTAAGAAATAAATTCTTAATTTTGACTTATTTCTTGAAAAAAGTTGAAAACAAAACAATCTTTTTACTTGATCTAAGAATTTAGATATTTTGATTAGAAACGAGACAGCAGGGTAAGAAAAGCTTTTTTTCGTTTGTTTTGTGATTATTTAGTTACTCTACCTGAATATTGTTAGACTCCACAGAAAACTGTCAAATAGAGCTATTCAAAACATCATGTGAAACTGTATTCATATCGCAATATTAATTAAAGAAAATTTAACATTAAAGGTCTTTTAGTCTCTGCTAATTAGCTGATGATCTGAATCAGGTGTGTTTGGTTAAGGAGACATGGGCTGTTTCTCAATATGCGTTCTTTAGCGATCTTGCATCCTTGTTCTCGTGGAACATCATTATCAACTGCCAAAGTTCAGTTACAAATCTCAAGATCGCTAGAACGGAGGACGCGTGAAACTTCCCAGATGTGTTTTTGATATCGAGGATGCAGACTTGAGCACCGAAGTCGCTTTTGAAGTTGAGAAACACTGATTTAGTTCACCCTCTCTCCCCACAAAAAAAACACAAATTTCCTCACCATTTACTCACATTTATGCATTTATAAATTTATTTCTTCTGCTGAACACAAAACAAGATAAATGTTGGAAAAAAGCAGCCATTGACACCTAGGAACAGAAATACTGTTTTATATTTTCCAATAGAAGAAAGAAACTTAATCAGATGTGGAACAAGTGGAAGATGAGTAAATGATGACAGAATATTTTTTTTTTTGTTGATTTTTAGTTATCTAGTTTGATCTGCCTCCAAAAATATAAACTGTTATCGATATTGGCCAAAATTTCCATACAGTGCAGCTTTTTATGTGTATCATTAAAGTGAATTTCATAATGGGGGCTGTTTATTCTTCCAGTGACCGAGCAAACAATGGAAAATGCTCATGAAAGTGGCAAGCCTGAGCCTGAGGCAACATTGTACACTGCGTTTTCAGCGGTGCACTGACAGATAAAGAGAAAACACACCGAGGATAAGGGGAGAGATCAGTGACATTGACGATAGAAGTATTTTGCAGGGTCTTACTCAAACAGGGTCAGCTCAGTTCTGAGGTTTGCAGCGTGTTTGATTTGCCGGTCATAATAACATGAGTCACTGTGTGTCAGGCAGGAAAAGTTGCTACAGCCCTCGTCTGCATTTTTAGCAGTAGCTGAAGTCTGAGGCAGTCTAGATTAATCTTATCAAAACAAGTCACATGGCCCGTTAGTCAGTATTCATTGTGATTGTGTCAGCACAGTTACCTTTTAAAGAAACCAGCAGCACTTGCGTAATTTCATTTCTTGTAACTGATTTGACTGATTTGGCTCTGGGTTGTCATCTGAATATTAAAGTCTACAAGAACTGGAATCTGCAGCCATTTTACACAGTTTTTTAGAGAAATGGCATATTAAATGAGAAAACAGTGGGTGTGGCTTGTTTTTCTACTGCGAGCTGATTGGATGTAGTAAATTAGGCATTTCTGACACCACCTCCTCACCATTTCTGATTGTTGTTAAAACTGACAGTTGGGGGGCGTGGTTGCGTGTATTAACCACACCCAATACCTCATACCTCATTAACACTAGCAGCGACTTTTGTAGCTGCCTGTCGCTCTGGAGGATGATCTGCTCCAAACGCAGGTCTGTGTAGGTCTACAGGAGTGATTTCCAACCTTTTTAATCACTGCGGACCTGTCGACACTTGACAAATTTACCGCAGATTGGCAGGAGGGCGTAGTAGCTCATAGGTTGCAAGGCGACCATCAACTGTTTTTTCAGAGAATGTCAAATATTGCTGTCACTCTGATACAAGTTTTATTTATAGATAATATCACAAAGCACTGCAGTGTTTGGGTGTTCTGTGTTTGTCTGAGATAATTAGTCGTCCAAAATGTTTATAATCCATACAAGCTGAAGCTGATTGGTCAATTCTTGTCATGTGACTCGAGTTGCACTTGTGGCATTTATTCAATTTTGAAGCAGTAGATCTTCTTGCACAGGTTGCGGATCAATTCCTTGGCAGTTTGCGTGTCC